AGGCCTTGGTAGGCTCCTTGGAGCAGCTGAGAACAGAACTTACCAGTCTTCTAGAAGTGGAGCTCCTTATCACAGACTGCAAGCCCATAGCCAGGTGAGGGCAGCCCGGGTGAAGGAGGAGGGAGCCATTACCCGATTCTGCTGGTAGCTCTTCTGGGTCCTACAAGGGCAATTCAGGGTGGTCCTTCAGGCTCACACTTTGCGGGAGGCTGAGCTGAAGAGGCCGTCAGGTGACCAGAGCTGCACCCTGACTCAAAGAAGCAACTGTTGAGAGGAAAAGGCGTGAGTGTGGCCAAGCGGCCCTGACCAGACCTTCGTTGCTATCACCAAAGCAAACAAAGGTGGGCTAGGACTGGTTGCCTGGCAACCACAGCTCCCTTTCTGCCTTTCACGTTCCCCCTTTGGCTCCTTTCTGCCCTTGTGTGATGTCATTTTGGGGGAGCTCAGTGCACGTGTTCATGAGTCCCTCCTGAGAGAAGTCAGACTTGGGGTGGACGGGGAAGAGACTGGACCGAGGGCCTTTGCCCCAGGCCATCGGCCCACCTCACCTGTGGCTGGGCTGGGCTGTCCTCTGTCTGGATGATGTGTGGACTGCGGACTTGCCCTGAGCTCGGGAAGCCCTGGGGCTGGGACTGGTGTAGGGCTCACTTCCTGTGTTGTGGGGTGAATGATTAACTGCAGCCCTGGGTGGCGCCTGGTGCCTCCTGGAACTGTTTCTGGGGGAAGGGTTGCTCCCCGCTGAGGCTTCCCATTGGTGCCTTTGTCTGCCCCTCGGGCACAGCCTAAGCAACATTGTGTGGTTGGTTTCTGCCCACTGTCACAATAGGGAAGCTGGGAAGAGAGAATCAAGCCTGTGCCCTGGTGCTTGAAACCTAATGGCCACCATTTACTCCTTTAAAAGCTAGGATGTGAGGGCCCACTGTGGCCAGGAAACAGGCACTGTGTGTCCAGTTGTGAGATCAGAGAGGCGGGCCCTGCCCTCCAAGCGCTCACCTTCTAGCCCTCGGGTGCTTATCACAGCTGGTAAAGATCTGGGAGCTTTTAGAAATGCCCAGGCCCCACCTGGTACCACTTACATCAGTCTGTGGGGGTGCCAGGACGTCGTATTGTTTACACATCCCCAGGTGATTCTCCCCAGGTGTGGCCAGGGTTGGATGACAGATGGTGGCAGATTTAGAACAGTCGTTCTTAACTATCATTGGCGTCGCTGACCCGGGTTACCTGATGTTTTCCGTTTCCTTGTGTGAAACTTACTGACTAAGGCCCTTGGCATGCTGAATGCTCACAGCAGTGGGCCAGTCTCTAGCTCACCCGGTGTGTGCAGCTCTGTCAGTTAAGTCAGATGCTTATCAAGAGTCAGGTGTTGGTTCCCAAACCTGTTCATGGCAGTTGTACTTGTAATTACATAATTGAATTTAACATCCCAGTAACCAGTGAAGCAACAATAACAGCTGAAACCCCAATTTTACATGGGAACGGGCACAGACAGGTTAAATAACTTAGCCAAGGTCATCAGCTAGTAAGTAACTGAGTTGGAGTTTGAATCCAGCAGCACACAGTCTGAGCTCTAAAGCACCTCAGAGCGAGTGGAGAAAGAAATTGTTTCTAGAAATACCTGTTGACCACTTTGGGATGACTTTGGAATCACTCAGATAATGTTCCTGTTGAAAAAGATGCAGACACGATAACTAAACATTGGGGACATTTTGTAAAAACCCAGAAGGCTTTCACACCCAGATTCCTTTGCCTTTAAGTTCCGATGACTTTAAGTTTTTGTTCTGCTTTAAAGAAACCAAAACTAGAAAATAACAATACAGGAACTCTGGTTGGCAAGCCCACACTCAGAGAAAAGGCCAGGAAGACCGGCCAGGGAATAGGTGTGTGTATATTTCCATTTAATGTGAGATATGTAAAAAAGTAATAGATGTTTAGAGAACTTAGGTGCTCTTTAACGAAAGTTGCTTTGACCAGCTCTTTCAATTAACTGCCGGCCCCAATTGGATAATTTTTTTTTTTTTTTTGAGACGGGGTCTCACTCCGTAGCCCAGACTGGAGTGCAGTGGTGATCTCGGCTCACTGCAACCTCTGTCTCCCAGGTTCAAGCGATTCTCCTGCCTCACCCTTCCGAGTAGCTGGGATTACAGTTGTGTGCCACCATGCCCGGCTGGGAGAAAACTTACATATATCTCTGCCAAGTTTTTCTAATGAGATTCTTGTATCCGTGGCTTTATTGTCTTTTTTTTTTTTTTTTTTTTTTTTTTTTGAGACAGGGTCTTGCTCTGTCACTCAGGCTAGAGTGCAGTGGCACTGTCATGGCCTAGGCAGTCCTCCTGCCTCAGCCTCCACAGGAGTAGCTGGGACCACAGGTGTGTGCTACCATGCCTGGCTAATTTTTTTTTATGTTTGTAGGGACAGGGTCTCCCCATGTTGCCCAGGCTGGTCTCAAATTCCGGAACTCAAGGATCCTACCTCATGTGGCCTTCCAAAGTGCTGGGATTACATGCATGTGATATACTGTGCTGGTCTGTTGTAGTTTTTTGTTTGTTTGTTTATTTGTGACAGAATCTCACTCTGTCACCCAGGCTGGAGTGCGGTGGCATGATCTCAGCTCACTGCAACCTCTGCCTCCTGGGTTCAAGCAATTCTCCTGCCTTAGCCTCCGGAGTAGCTGGAACTACAGGCACACACCACCACACTCAGCTAATTTTTTTGTATTTTTAGTAGAGACAGGTTTTACCATGTTGGTCAGGTTGGTCTCAAACTCCTGACCTCAAATGATCTGCCTGCCTCGGCCTCCCAAAGTGCTGGGATTACAGGCAGGAGCCACGATTGTAGCTTTTAATCAGGCATGATGTACAGACAGTACGGCACACAGGTCTTCAGAGTAGAGTGCAGCCCTTTTGAGGAGCCAAGAGCAGCCTGCCCTGTGGTGGAAGCGGAGGGCACAGCTGGGGGTGGGCATGAAGAGGCTGGCCAGATGTTTGTGGGGACCTCTTAGGATGCTGCTGCAGTGACCACAGGTAAGCATTGATGGCAGCGTGGTCCAGGATGGCACAGTGGCGGGAACAGAGAGGTGGTGGCCAAGTCAGACGTCCTCTGAACCTGAAACCAGCCTGATGGCCACCCCTTCCATGGCTCCCGCCCATCTTCAGGCTGCCCAGGTCTGCAACATCTTTCTGTTTATTCTTTCCCACAGTCGGGCAACTGCTGCCACCTTTCCATGCCCATCTTCCCTAGGGAAGACTGGCACGAGAAGCTGCTTCTTGGAGTGGGCCGGGCTACTGTCGGAGAGCCGGTCTGGTTAATCTCAGTGGGTTTGAAGCCTACGAAGGAGTTGGCCTGAGAACTGGGCCCGGTGTGTGCCAGTTGGCGAAGGAGCAGAGAGGAGTGAGTCCTGTGAGGGCAGAGACCGAATCCTGTGTGGACTTAGCAGTTGTGTACCGCCTGCCCTGGAGCGGCCATTCGGCCTGTCCATGTCCGGGGCTGTCTGTGGTTCCCACCTCGAGCAGCTGGGCTGGGGAAGCAGAATATTTTCTAGCAAAGGGCCTCAGCCTCAGCTGCCCTGGAGCAGGGCTATTCTTATGCTGATGAAAACTGGCTTATGGAAAAGTTACCCAGGCTGCTTCCCTGTTGACCATCTCCCAAACAGAAGGCTTCCGGAGACCCCCCAGCCCTTGCTGCTGGGAATGAAAAATGCGGGGTTTCCTGTCCATCCACTCCCCTGTGTTTTTCTTCTGGGAGGGATACCTCATTGGGCACCACCCCAGCTCTTACCTGTTGGGTCCCACCCACTCCTGTGAAGGTTATTTTGAGACAGAGTTTGGGGTGTGGGTGTTTTGGGTATAGGGTTGGTCGATGGAGGATAATGGGATTAGAGCGTTATCTGTCCTGCATCCAGGAGGCCAAGGTCTGGGTCTTGGAGCCCTGGGTGTGGTAAGCAGAGGCTCTGGAGCCAGATAGGCTGGACTCAGGCAGGCTCTGCTGCTTTTCAGCTGGTTGAACTTAGACAAGTCACCCAGCATTGCTGAGGCCCAGTTTCCTCATCTCTAAAATGGGGGTAACAGTGGTATCTTCAACGTGGAGGTACTATGATGAGTAAATGAGTTTATCTGCACCAAAATGCTGAAGACATGCTGAGTATGTGTAACCCCTCAGTAAATTTAGCCATCTTCATCATCATCATCATCATCATCATCATCATCATCATCATCATTCTGAGTCCTGTTCTTTGGAGGGGGCTGAGAATGGGCAAATTTTTGAATTTCTTTTCTTTTGTATGAAAACATTTACTCTCCAGGTCTTTAACCTAAACCTGTCAGACAAGTCCGTGGACACTAGAAAGTGAAACCAGAGGGTGAGAGCTTCCCCTCCCTGCCTGCTATTGCCAGTGTGGCCTGGACTGCCAGCTGGAAATGGCGGGGGTGTGACAGTGGCTGGCATTCCCCTCTCCATGACATGTTTCCCAGGTAGACAGGGCTCTGCTCCCAGGTGCCAGAGCACAGCTACGCAGGCCAAGATGATGGAAGCATGTGAAAAACACAGACTTCTCGTGGCTCTGGGGAAGCCCCCGGGAGGCACCTCAGGATGCTCTGTCTGGACCCATTGGCATTTCTGGAGCCTCCCCTCACTCCTGGGTTCGTAGCTCTACCTGGAAAGTTCTCTGGAAAGTGTGGGGTGTGCAAGCCAAAGGTGCAGGCAGTGAACAGATTGAAGTGCCATTCCCGAGCCTAGCTCCTGCCTTTGGGCAAACACACTCTCTGCCACTCTGCAGAGTAGTGCCTCGGCCTGGCAGAGCTCACTAGCAGCTGATGCACGACAGGAATGTCATGGCACCATCCACGGGTCCCGTGGCGTTACCGCCTGTGTGGCATGCTTCTCTGCGTGGTTTTCCAGCTTTTGTGGGCACAGGGAAAGCAGAGGCCTGGGAAGGACAGGCACCAGCTATACCCCCTCCCGATGCACAGAGCCCAGCCCAACCTCAGGGAGTCCGGCACCGCAGAAACATAACACAAAAGCTTTTACTTGGAAACCGGCAAATACTGGACTAGAACACTGACATGCTTACGCTCTGGCAGGAGCTCGGATGCAGAAGCTATTGCACAAAGCCCCTCTGATTGCCTTGCTCCTCTTTGGCATGGATCAGCAGAGCCCCAAGGGCCAATTGCCCACAGGTGGGGGCTGTTTTCCATCAAGGTATGGGGACCCCTACTTCCTTGTTTTGTTAAAAAGTGCAGGTAGGTGAAGAAGCCCAGGCAGTTGGCCCAGTCTTTGAAACAGCTGACTCCCCAGCACCCAGTGTCCACTGGCAGATGAGAGGTTTGCACCTATACCAGCCCTGGTTTCCTTGGTAGGGCTCAAGTTGTCAGTGTCCAGGTACCTGGGCCGGGCCAGAGCTGGGGCCAGGGGAGCCTGGTCTTGAGGGGTGAGGGCTGCAGGGCCAGGCTGATGGCCTGTGTCATAGCGTTGGTCATCTCTCCAGCTTCTCCTCAGCCATCCCCTGTCCGTCATGGTGGTGTCGGCTGCACCTGGACCTTCCTGCCTCTCTGCTCAGGGCAGCAGCAGTGAGCGCAGCAGCAGCTGCAGGCTATCAGCAGCAACAGCAAAACAGTGGCTGGAGGGCCGGGTGAGAGCACGGGACTCAGGCTGGGGAGAGAAAGGATGCCCGTCCTCCTCCCAGAGAAACCCACTGCATGCCAGGGTCTTTCCCCCACAGGTCTGGTGGAGTGGTCAGAAAGACCCGAGAGGCTAGTGAGAGGTGTTGACGGTCCCCATGCCAGCCGCCAGGGCCAACCTCCTCCATGTTGTATCTTCTGTTTTGCTGCCCAAGCCTGGCTCCCATCATCCCCGTGTTTGGGATCCCAGGGTACTGCGGGGCCCAGTCCCCAGCACCACCCATCACCCAAGCAGCATATGAGAGGATGAGGGAACTCCCTTGGCTTCCCCCAAAGGACAACTGGTTTTCTTCCTTGATCCGGGAGACACCTGCCACCTCTGCCAGCCCTGTGGCTGGCACCATGGTGTGGTTGCTCCCAGATGCCAGGGAGAGCCATAGAGCTCTAAGTGCCCCAACTAACCTGTGAAAAGGACGATGACTGAGAAGGCCACGATCTCCACGGGCTCAGCCTGGGGCAGTCTCTGCAGCTTGAGCAGCAGCCTCTCACCCACAGCACGCATCTCCTGCACGAAGTCGGTGGCGGCCATGCTGCGCTGGCTTCCTGTCGGGCCTCCTGCCGGGCTGTGCTGGGGCAGAGAGGACACCTGGAGCCTCCACAGCTGGCCCCACACTCGCCGCAGCACTGAGATTCCACCCTCGTACCCATCCACAGCCCGCAGAACAAGTTTGTCAGGTCTCACACATTGCACCCCTGGTGACTTCCACCTAGTGGTGGCCCTCAGTCCCCACCCAGCTGACACAGCTCAGGGTGGAGAAAACCGGTGAGGACAGTGAGACCAAGGGCTTGCTTTGGGGGCTGCCAGCCAAGGCTGAGGCTGGTGGTGGTTTCTGTTTTCGCTGTTCCATTCCCTTGTCTTGAGGTACCACTCCTAGGTTTTGCCTGGGTGCTTGGGACTGTCATAGCTCCCTGCTGGCACCCGGGTCCCCTCGGGGTGGGGAGACTGGCATAGGATGCCAAACTGGTTATCTTGCCTTCCATCAATGTGGGGACAGAAGGAGCAGGTTCTCCCAAGAGCAGGTTCATGGGGCTTCTGGCCAGGGTCAGTCAGAGGTGAAAACTGCCCCCGCTTGTCTCCCAGGCTGCCCAGCCTCTCCCACCAGCCCAGTTTCTGCACTCATGCGTGTTCTGCCGGAGGCAGGAGGCTGCACCGTGTCCCTCCAGGTTTTGCCAGGGTTTCTGTCCTGTCTGTTGGGAGGAGGTCAGGAGGCCCAGGATGTCAAGCCAGCCCTTCCCCTGCTGGCTTCATGTGTTTCTCTGGCCTGACTAGGAAAGTCTTCTCCACTCCCACCCCTGCCCCAGAAGAGCCTCTGTCTCAGGGTGCCCAAGAAGCCCAAGGTGCAGCTCCAGGCTGAGGCTGTCGGGCTGTTGTGTCTTTGAGCCGCTTTCCCCTTCTGCCTCTCCTGTGGGCATGAGGGAGCTGGTGCCTCTTTAGAGAGGGGCCAGAGACAGCCTTGTCCCAACCCAGCCTGATCCAGTTCACCAAGGCAGTTGCTCTAATCCAGGGTGGTGGTGGGGACTGGTGGCCAGGGGCTCGTGCCCCTGTAATGATCGTTGCCTCGTCCCGGGTCTCAGCCGGTTCTCGCTGGGATGGCTGCAGTCAGTGAGGCTGGTCACTCCCAGTGCTGCTGCCTTGGCAGAGCTGGTTTAGAACCACCGTGAAGGTCATCGAACGGAGCCCTCCACCCTGCACTTGGCCTGCGGCCATCCTTGAGGCCATGTGGCGTTTGCATGAGCACCCAGGATGGTGGGGAACCCCCGCCTGCTGAGGCAGCCCACCCTACTGCAGAAGGTCGGACTCCCTGCTGGCCCCCACTTAGTCCCACTTGTGGTCACTTAGACCTTGCCACCTCTTCTGCCTCATAATCCTTCAGAAGCAAGATGGCAGCCGGCATGTACCTTCTGTATTTCCTTCTCTGCCAGGGGCCTGCTCTAGTGTTTTCTTTTTTTTTTTTTTTGAGACGGAGTCTTGCTCTGTGGCCCAGGCTGGAGTGCAGTGGCCGGATCTCAGCTCACTGCAAGCTCTGCCTCCCGGGTTCACGCCATTCTCCTACCTCAGCCTCCCGAGTAGCTGGGACTACAGGCGCCCGCCACCTCGCCCAGCTAGTTTTTTGTATTTTTTAGTAGAGACGGGGTTTCACCATGTTAACCAGGATGGTCTCAATCTCCTGACCTCGTGATCCGCCCGTCTCGGCCTCCCAAAGTGCTGGGATTACAGGCTTGAGCCACCGCGCCCGGCCTGCTCTAGTGTTTTCAACTGCCCCTCCTTGAATGCCACTTCCACTTCTTCCTTTTGTGACATGAACAGGTTGCTTCATGTCTCTGATATGGAATGAGATGCCCATGTTTTGAGGCCCCCACTGGTGCCCCACGATATCTCCCCATGGAGGCCTGTCTCCAGCTTAGACCAGCAAGATAGCCAGGAGCAGCCCCCCTGAGGGCACTGCCCTTGCAGTGGGCTCAGTATAGCAGCCAGGGCCCAGAGGCCCCTGGAAGCCAACTGGCTATGCTCGGCCAGCCCCAGCCCACGTTGTGGATCTGAAGCTGCTTTTATCAGCATATCACCACCAGGCCGGGGCCACACCAGGCCCTTTGAGACTACCTGGAGTCCTTGTCACCACAGGTACAGGTCTTGTGTGCCTAGCCAGCCTGAGCGTAGGACTGTCCCCTCTGGTCAGACCGAATGGGACATTCCCTCTGGCCAGGTGGAGCAGGCTTGCACAAGGAGAGTGGTCCCCTCTTGGTCCGGTACCTCCTAGCTTTCCAGGTTCCGTCATTCTTAGAGGGACGACAATGCTGACAGTGTCCCTTACGGGACAGTTGGTGCATGGTTCAGGAGCTCGGCTGCCTTTCTCCCCTCCCTGTCTGCACTTGGTCTGGCGTTTTCAGCTTGATTGGCACTGTGCCTACACAGCCTCGTGTAGCCCAGCAGAGACACTCCTTAAAAGAGGACGAGGGCAGGGAGAGGTAGCAGGGGGGAGCTTTTCCTTATGAGCGAGAAGTGGCATGGAGGCCTGGGGTCATGCTCACCAGAACAGGGAGGAAGAGCTTTTCCTTATGAGCGAGAAGTGGCATGGAGGCCTGGGGTCGTGCTCGCCAGAACAGGGAGGAAGATGGTTGGACTGAGGCTAAATTTACTGGTGCAGGAAAAGTGGGGTTTGTTGCTGAGGAGCTCTGGCCAGCCTCCAGGGTCTGCAAAGTGGGAGAGCTGCAGACTCATGCCGGGTGGACCCCGGCCCCCAGCTGGGAAAAGTGTCAGTTCCCAGCAGCAGCAGGCTGCGGCTGTGGATAGTGGCATAGCTTTGTGCCCAGGGCTTCCCTAGGAGGCTGACTGGAGGCTGAATTTGCCAGCCAGGCATGGCCAGCCTCACCCAGCCCTGGGGTCTGACCCAGGGGTACTCAGACGATATCCTGTCACACAGTGAGCGGAAGTGGGACCATTGGACGTGGCTCTTCTGCCCCCAGAGAGCTGGAGAGGAACCCCAGGACCCCCTTTGTTTTGCCGTTGATCTCTTGTCATTTGGATCATAAGCCCGCGACTGAACCTTCATGGAGCAGGTGGGGGAACAGGGGGTTCCTGTTCTCTAAAGAGGAGGATGCGCATTCTAGCCAGTCCCCAGCCAGTCTTCCCAGCGGGCTATTTAAAGCCAGGCCAAGGAGTGCCTGACGCTTGGTGCCCAATATAACCAGCAGCCGTCAGGTGACTGTGTGGCGTGTGCCCCAGCCGCGGCTCCTAAGGGAACCTTAGTGTTCCCAGCTGTGGCGAGGGGAACATGGGAGCGCTGGCCACCCCCAGAGGCTGGCCACCTCTCCTCCCCTTTCCCTTCCTAGGTTTGGCAGGAGGAAGGCAGGGAAGCCCAGGAGGGCTACTGATGATCCTGTATTTTTCCAGTCTTTCTATCTCAGGTTCACCCAACACCTTCAGAAACCACCCTTCCCACCTATGAACCAGGGCAACCAGTCCCTCCCAACCCCACGCTCGGTAGTGCCCACCTGTGAACCAGGGCAATTAGAATCCCTCCCAACCCCACGCTCAGTAGTGCCTTGGTTGGACGTTTCTCAGGATCCTCAGGGGTTCCTGAGTGGCTGCCAGAGCAAGTGGTGGCTTCCTCTGGCCCTAAGAGGGAGTGTAGCCCAGCTGCCACCAGGCCATCCTGCTGCCCAGGCTGCCCAGGCAGCCCTGCTTGGAGCCTTCAGAGGGTGCGCCCTGGCTGCAGTAGTGGTCAGTACAGGGGAAACACGCAGGGCAGGGAAGGCTGACAGAGCCGGAGGGATGGGAAGCATTCCTTTGTGTGGCATCTCCTGGCACACGGAGCCTTGCAACAGGCAGGTGTCCCGCAGGCCAGACAGCTGCCACTTGGTCCCGAAGCTTCCCTGTTTCCTCCTCGCAGAGCTGATACTACAACCCCAGGCGCCCCACAAGGAAGGGCTGGCAACAGGCGGCGTGTTTGAGACTGATAAGCGAGGTGTGCTGGCGGTGCGGGGCCCCAGAGGGCTGCTTGCTCTGCCCTGTTGTTTCGTCATGGTGGGTTTCAGCCACTCTTGCCCTACCGGGCATTATCTTGTTTGAGGTCCAACTAGGAGGAGGCATAACTGACACTTGTGGGAGATTTGCAGGGCCCTGTGCCTGAGCAGCCGGGGGGATGCCCCTGTTTCTGGCACTGAGCCTTTGGGTGACTCCCCTTTTTGCCCTGGCTCCAACTAGAAGTAGAAAGTGGTGCTTGAACCCCTGGCAGGCCCTGCTCCTGTAGCCATCCAGGACAGGAGGCAGCGCTTTCTGCTGCTGGTGTTAGAAACAGTAGGCGCTCCTTCTGCAGCTACAGAAACTGGCCATTCATTCCCTCTCCGTCCTGGTTCAGGGACTGTGTTGGAGAGACCCTGTCCACTCGTGTCCTGTGGATGCAGGACAGGGATCCCCACCTGCCTGCCTGGGGCGTCTTGTGAGTGACAGCCAGTGGGGTTTCCAGGCTCACCACTGTGCCCTCGCCCCCACCTGGCCTGACTCTTTCCCTGCTGTGCGCCTCCCAACACCACAGGAGCTCGTCTCCACAGGCACCAGCCCCAGCCGAAGCCCCCAACCTCTGCCGAGCTGGGAACATGTGGGCTGGTCCTTGGTTTCCACATTTCCCTGGGTCATTGTTTTCCTTTCTTACTAGATGCCAGCTTGTTTGCTTTGAGGAAAACGTATGGGAGGTGGTGGCTTTAACGCTGGCTTGAGGACAGGGAGGCAGGAGGAGTAGGCAGCCTCGGCTCACGGGCCCTGCCCAGGAGGGCTGCTCTCACTGCTCCCCAAAGAACCAAACAGTCGGGCCCTGCTTCCTTAGGGGCGGTGTCACATCAACCTGTGCGTCACAGTGGCACAGCAGAGGTCCCGGTTGCCAGCGTGGTCCCTCCCAGCCTCATTTCTGTGACCTCCCCACCTGAGCCTGGGTTGAAAGTCAGTCATCCAGGTTCCTGGTTTGGTGTTCAAGGCTCGTCACCAGAGGGAGATCTGGAAGCTCATGCAGTTCTAGGTGGGCCCAGGGAGGAGGACCCAGGCTGAGCCCTGAACTGAGAACACCAGCAGTGAGTGGGCCAAGCCCCCGAACGGACACAGATGGGTGGAGTCGTGCTGCATGCTGGGGGTGCCACACACTGGCTGGGCAGACCCCGCACTGACCTCGACAGGGCTCTGCCCTAATCCTGGGAAAAAGAGAGGCTCAGCAGGCCAGCAGCCGTTCTCTTCCAAGCTGGACAGCCAAATCCCTCTTTTAAGCCCCCTGAATAAAAGAGCTGAAATGAACTTGCAGAATAAGCAGGCCCTCGGGGCCCCTCTGCTGCACAGCAGGCGGAGCGGGAGGCGCTCTGAGCAGAGCCCCCGACCCTCCCCTAGTGCAGGGTCCCAGCAGGAGGGAGAGTGCAGGTGCGTGCAGGAGGCTGCCTGATTTCCCTGCAGGAAAGTGACCCAGCGTGTCCCCCAAGACCTCTCCATGTTTATGGTAAACTGTGGCCCTTCACCCTGGGGGCAGGAGACCCTTGCTGCTCCCTCACTATCCCCCCTTCTTCTGTGGCCGTTTCCACTCACCTGGGAGCTGAGGTGTCGGGGGCTAAGCAGCAGTGCCCCAGCGCGGAGCCTCCACGTGCTGTCCTCGTACTTCCTCCGTGGGTGCCGGGTGCCGCTGCTCCCCTGGGCGCCTCAGCCCAGCCCCTCTGCTGACAGCCAGCTGCTGTCTCTGCCTGGCTTTTTTGTTGTTGGTCGTCCTGGAGATCCAAGTGTCAAATTACCGTCGCGAGGGGGAGCCCGAGAAAGCCCTGCTTGGGAACTTGTCCTCCAACTTCATGTCCTGGTGCCTCACCTCTGCCCTGAGAGGGCTGCTCGGGGACAGGATGAGCTCCCTCTGTCCTCCTTCTTCCTCCTTCCCCCTCCTCTCCCTCTCCCCTACTCCCATGCCGTGGGCTGGGCCTGAGTTGGGAGCTGAAGAAAGAAGTCGGCTCATGCAGTTCTAAGTGGGCCCAGGGAGGGCCTCCCTGGCCAGGAGGACCCTGGGGAGGCGCCACCTGAGCCTGTGGAGGGGAGTCCTGCAGTGCTTTCAGGTCTGGGGCACCCACCCTGCCCTCGGGAAGGCCACCCCTTCTGTCCCTCTGGCCACTCCCTGGCTGGCCCCTCCCTCTGGCCTCTCAGGAACAACAGTAAACAGTGGGGAGCTGGTGCCCTCCCAAGCCGAGCAGGAGGCTTTGCAGCCAGTCCCTGGGGAGGCCCTTGTACCACTCAGCGTCTGAAGGCGTCTTGGGGGAAAACTTGGAATCCTGAGTGACCTGGGAGTGGCCTGCACGCCTGGCAAGGCACCTCATGTTCCTCGTGAGGTGAGGGCCTTCTGCTGGGGCTGTGACTGCACTCCTGGCCCAGCTGTCAGGGCAGGGCTCCAGAGTCCAGGGGCCGGGCCCTGTGACATTTGCCTGGTTGTGCCACCCAGCAGGCCAGGCTGTGTGGAGAGAAACTGACCCCAGCCCCGCTGTCAATGGAGCTCTTTGAGTCCGAGCACAAAACCCCAGTGAGTCAGGGCTTGGGGAGGGCACGGGGAGGAAGCCAGCCATGTGGTCACACCACTTGGATGACAGAGCCTCCCAGAAGGCTGGACAGGCGGCCGCTGTGCAGATGCACGGACTCTTGGGGATGGACCGTTTGTCACATTTACTCTTTGGAGCAGAGCGGGGGCAGGAGCACCCTCTGGTGGCCGCCTCGGCTGTCCCAGCCCAGGTCAGGCTTCCGAGCTGCGTTCACTCAGCTAAAGGAAAGTCAGCCAGGCCCTGCTTCCTCAAGGGGGTGTTACAATCAGCCTTGGATCTTTGAGCCTGCGCCTTGGGGTCGCAGTCCCTCAAAGGGCTTCTTGCAGCCCCAGCAGTGCTCACACTGGGAGGAGTTCTAGTTACAGCAGTTAACACCAGCTATTCTCGTCCCTGGGATGTGGCACCCCAGACAGCCCTGCCTCTGTTCCAGCATCTCCTCTTGGGCTTCCCTACCCTGTGCCGCGTTCCTGGGGGCAGGAATGGCTGTTTGTAAGGAGCCTGAGAGAGCTATGGCCCCTCTTGCAGCCTCTGCACCTGCCCCAAGGGTCGACAGCCACCCCCATGCATAGGGAACAGAGATGTGACAGGGCCTCGTGGGCCAGCCAGAGGCTGCTCCCTGCTCCCAGCGTGGGCAGAGGCCACTCACCCCAGGAGGGCTGCAGCAGGGTTGAGACAGAGGAAGACGAGAGGAGGACTCCAGGCAAGGCTGCATCTCCCTGGCTAAAGGCCCCACCTGTGACACCCTCAGAAGTTGATGATGGGACATATTACTACACAGTCATGCCTGCCTTAGCAATGCAAATAAGTTTTGAGAAATTTAACTTGTCATTGCACAGTCACAGAGTATACTTAAGGAAATCAAACGGCAATTCCAGGGAAGAGAAGGAAAAAAAAAAATATTAAGCGGCATAGCCTCCTACACACCCAGGCCATGTGGTACAGCTTGTTGCTCCTAGACCAAAAACCTGTACATCATGTTACTGTCCCAAGTACCATATGCAGTTGTAACACGGTGGTATTCACATATCTAAGCACACATAAGCATAGAAAAGGTACAGTAGAAATACAGTGTTAGAATCTTAGGAGACCACTGTTGGCTATGCAGTCATTCCATGAGGTGTGACTCTACTGTAACGCACTTCAGACATCTCAGCCATCTTCACTCAGTCCATGAGGTCGGTGCCTTGCTGCACCATCTTTTTTTTTTTTTTTTTTTTGAGACAGAGTCTCGCTTTGTTGCCCAGGCTGGAGTGCAGTGGCCGGATCTCAGCTCACTGCAAGCTCCGCCTCCCAGGTTCACGCCATTCTCTTTTTTTTTTTTTTTTTGAGACGGAGTCTCGCTCTGTTGCCCAGGCTGGAGTGCAGTGGCTGGATCTCAGCTCACTGCAAGCTCCCCCTCCCGGGTTCACGCCATTCTCCTGCCTCAGCCTCCTGAGTAGCTGGGACTACAGGCGCCCGCCACATCGCCCGGCTAGTTTTTTGTATTTTTTAGTAGAGACGGGGTTTCCCCGTGTTAGCCAGGATGGTCTCGATCTCCTGACCTCGTGATCCACCCGTCTCGGCCTCCCAAAGTGCTGGGATTACAGGCTTGAGCCACCGCGCCCGGCCGGTTCACGCCATTCTCTTGCCTCAGCCTCCCGAGTAGCTGGGACTACAGGCGCCCGCCACCTCGCCCGGCTAGTTTTTTGTATTTTTTAGTAGAGACGGGGTTTCACCGGGTTAGCCAGGATGGTCTCGATCTCCTAACCTCGTGATCCGCCCATCTCAGCCTCCCAAAGTGCTGGGATTACAGGCTTGAGCCACCGCGCCCGGCCTGCACCATCTTACTGATGGGAATGCATAGGCTTTAGGAGGTGAAGTGTGTCACCCAAAAGACAGCCTTCATGGCAGAGCCGGCATCTGCACCCGGAGTCTAAACTCTGTGCAGTACATCCCATTGCCAGAGGACAGAGGGGAGGAGCAGAGGAGTAACTGGACAGAGTGGGGTTCATATCCTGCTTCCCGGGAGACCCCCATGTGTTGCGTGATCTCGGGAAAGTTTGTTCACCTCATTTTCCTCATCTGTGTAGTGGGCAGAGCCAAACGATGCCCAGTGCAGCTTGGATGAGATGAGGGGTGTGGGGCTCCTGGCATGATGCCAGACACGGCAGTGCTCGCTCGGCCAGCGATTAGGGCTCGGGTGAACAGATGCCAGCCGGCTGGGCTGTCCACCCCTCACCTCTGCGGTGCTGCCTGCTCCAGGTGCCGCCATGCTGCCATTGCCAAGTACTTCGGGGATGCGCCGCCTGCCTGTGCCAAAGGCTGCGACCACTGCCAGAACCCCATGGCCGTGCGGAGGCAGCTGGAGGCCTTGGAGCGCAGCAGCAGTTGGAGCAAGACCTGCATCGGGCCCTCCCAGGGGAATGGATTTGACCCCGAACTGTATGAGGGAGGCCGCAAGGGCTACGGGGGCTTCAGCAGGTAAGGCGCCAAGAAGCCAGGGACTCTAACCCACTGGAATCGTCCGGCATTCCCTTGGCGCTAAGGCCAGACCAGAGGTGCTACGATGCTGCAGTCCCCCCTTGAGCTGGTAGGGCATCAGGGACATTGCCATCCTAGCAGCAGCACACATGGGGAGGGCAGAGTCCAGGCCAGGGCCACTCATGCCTGGCCTATCCCTAGGTACGACGAAGGTTCTGGAGGCAGCGGGGATGAAGGCAGAGATGAGGCCCACAAGCGGGAGTGGAACCTCTTCTATCAGAAGCAGATGCAGCTGCGCAAGGTGAGGGGAGGCGCTCGGTGGTCTGTGCGGGGCCCCTGGTGGCCCCCTGCTCGCACCTCTCAGCCCCTTCTCTGGTGCTGGATGGGGCTGTCCTGTGGCAGGGCAGGATGCCTCATGGACCCTTCATGTTGTCCTCCAGGGCAAAGACCCCAAGATAGAAGAATTTGTACCCCCAGGTCAGTACAAAAATGTTCCTAGAGGCTTGCGGGCTCTTCCCGGGGCATGGAGGGAGGATTCTCATCTGGGGCGTGGGGGACCTCAGAGTGCAGAAGGTGGAATGAAAAGACCAAGGACCTCCCCCCACAACAGATGAGAACTGTCCCCTGAAAGAGGCTTGTAGCAGGAGGATCCCCAGGCTGACTGTGAAGGTAAGAGACGGGCAGCTCCTCAGACACCCCCCAGGGCCGTCCCCCAGCCTCGAGGCCGTGTGACCAATCTTACTCTCCTGTGCCAGGCACGGGAACACTGCCTGGGGCTTCTGGAGGAGGCGCTGAGCAGTAACCGCCAGTCCACATGTACCACTGATGAGTGAGTTCCACAGTCACTGGGCAGAGGAGCCCTCCAAGCTCTCGTTCCCTTGGAGACTGCAGGACCCTATCAACCCTGGCCTGTTTGGGCCACCTCTCCCCAGATTGTACCTCTCCTACTCCAGGGGACTGCCCCTAAACCCCACCAGGGCCAGACATAGCTGCAACTTAGGTGCTGCCAGCTGAGGGACAGTAAACCACAGGGTGCCCAGAGAGTCCTAGTCAGAATCCCTGTGCCCAAGGCCTACCCCACCAGGCCTCGAGTCCCACAGGAGCTTGGCAGGGAGAAGCCCAGGCCCACCTGATACCTTGTGCCGGTTACCTTGCACCCACAGAGCTGACCTCCGGGCCAAGGCTGTGGAGCTGGAACATGAGACATTCCGGAATGCTAAGGTGGCCAACCTGTACAAGGCCAGCGTGCTGAAGAAGGTGGGCCTGGTGCACGTGGACCAAGGGTCGTTGCAGGGGCCTCTCCATGCTCTGAGGCAGAAGCTGTCTGCCAGCTCTCCGGGCACGGGCACCCCAGAACCCACCCTCCCCAGCCCACCCCAGAGACAGTTTATGGGGGTAGAGCTCCATTCTCCATTAGCTGGAGGTGTTTTTAGCCAACCCTGTGAGGATGGGAGGCCTAAAACTTGCCCAGTAGTTAGTTGTCTGCAGCCACTGGCCACAGAAACCCACTTCTAGTGCCTAGTGGAAAAGGAGGGCTGGGTGGGGCATGTCAGGAGGAGCTGGCGGGTGCCACAGCCTCCCTGCCCATCCCTGCCCAGGTGGCTGATATCCACAGAGCCTCCAAGGATGGGCAGCCCTATGACGTGGGAGGCAGTGCCAACAGCTGCAGTGCCCAAGCTGCGCCCCCCGAGCCCAATGAGTATGACATCCCACCGGCCTCCCATGTGTACTCGGTGAGCTGTGGCCCAGTGGCCTCCAGACCTGTGACCAGGAAAGGCTCCACTTCCCCTCTGCCCTCAGGGGTGCACCTCTTGCCATGGCCCGGCTCCCCACCAGGGTCCTGCCTGCCTCTTCCCTCCCACACACCTGAGAGCCCCGGCCCAATGTGAGCGACTGGTCCAGCCAGCGGAGCCCTCGACGGGGCCTGGTGGGCTGAACCTCTTCTCCTCCTGCTCACATTTACAGCTCAAACCCAAGCGGGTGGGAGCTGGTTTCCCCAAAGGCTCCCGCCCATTCCAGACGGCCACGGAACTGATGGAGACGACTCGGATCAGGGAGCAAGCACCCCAGCCCAAGCGGGGAGGCGAGCATGAGCCCCCGAGCCGGCCCTGTGGCCTCTTGGATGAGGACAGGAGTGAGCCCCTTCCTGGGCCCAGAGGGGAGGTCCCTGGAGGCAGCGCTCACTGTGGGGGGCCCTCCCCTGAGAAGAAGGCAAAAAGTTCCTCTGGGGGCAGTTCCCTTGCCAAGGGCCGGGCTAGCAAGAAACAGCAGCTCCTAGCCGCAGCGGCCCACAAGGATTCTCAGAGCATCGCCCGCTTCTTCTGCCGAAGGGTGGAAAGCCCAGCTCTGCTGGCCTCAGCCCCAGAGGCAGAAGGTGCCTGCCCCTCCTGTGAGGGGGTTCAGGGACCGCTGATGGCCCCAGAGAAATACACAGGGGAGGAAGATGGAGCTGGGGGACGTTCGCCTGCCCCTCCCCAGACTGAAGAGTGCCTCAGGGAGAGGCCAAGGTAAGGGTAGAGGTAGTCATAGAATCTTCTGGAATCCACATGGCAGCATCCCCTTTGCTCCCTGGGCGTCTGAAGCTCAGAGCTCATCCCTAAGATGGGCTTTCCTAGGCCTCCTAGGATAAGGGAGCCACTAGGACCCAGAGCTGTGATGCCTGCTCTTCCCTCCACCAGCACCTGCCTGCCCAGAGATCAGGGCACCCCTGAAGTCCAGCCCACCCCTGCAAAGGACACATGGAAGGGCAAGCGGCCTCCATCCCAGCAGGTGCCGGCAGGGATGAGGCCGTTGGGAAGGAGAGAAGGGCTGTGGGCGAGGCCAGGAGCTGTTGTGCCCTGGTCAAGGGGTCAGGGAAAATCAGTGCTTCTTTCCACACCCGGCGGCAGATGGGCTGGGCTGGTGTGGGGGCGGCTGGTGTGGGGGCCTAGTCTTTGGAGGAGGGGAGCAGGTCAGTGGAAGGGAACTCAGGAGTGACCCTCTGCTGTGGCCCTTCTCAGGAGAACCCAGAGAGCCAGCCTCAGAAGAGACTGCGCCCCTCAGCCAAGCCCTCCGTCTTAGCCGAGGTCAAGGGCAGCGTCTCGGCCAGCCATCAGGGCACCTTGAATCCCACAGCTCAAAACCCCTGTCAGCTCTCAGCTCCTGGCATCTCCTTGAAGGAGGCTGCAAATGTTGTGGTCAAGTGCCTGACCCCTTTCTACAAGGAGGGCAAGTTTGCTTCCAAGGTAGGGGGAGTGGGTGGGCTCTGCCTTCTCCCAGGCCTGGGGTATGTGGGTGTCGTGGGGGCGCGAGGCAGGGAGTGTGAGCCCCAGAACACGGTGGGCCAGAGCAGACTGGGCCGGGGCCAGTCCCGCATCCGTCCTCCCTGGGGCCTGCCTTGCCATCGGGTCGTGGCTGTGGGTTGCTCTGGGGGTCAGGGCAGGGTCCTGCTCTCTGCTTCTCTTCTCCCTCTCCTTTCCAGGAGTTGTTTAAAGGCTTTGCCCGCCACCTCTCACACTTGCTGACTCAGAAGACCTCTCCTGGAAGGAGCGGTGAGTGCTGGCATTGCCAGGGCCAGGAGGCAGTTGGGAGGGTGGTCTACAGGGAGGAGGCTGACACTCACGTCATGCCCCCACCCTGAATCTGTAGTGAAAGAAGAGGCCCAAAACCTCATCAGGCACTTCTTCCATGGCCGGGCTCGGTGTGAGAGTGAAGCTGACTGGCATGGCCTGTGTGACCCCCAGAGATGACCAACTGGTGGCTGGGCAAGGCCCGCATCCTCCACCAGATTCTAGCATGGGCCAGCCTGGGCCTCGCCTGCTTTTCTGAGTCCTTCTCCCTTCCAACCATACTTGGCTTTGGGGATGACCCCAGACACCCCCTGAATCCAGGTCAGAGGTCAGCCCACCTTTCTTTCTGCTTGCAAAGCCTATAGACCCTTCTCAGAGCCTCCCTGCCTCTCCTGGCCCTCATGGCCGGGTTTTCTAGGACACATGTCCGGGACAGAAGGTGGAGGGTGGTGGAGCTGCTGCCAGAAGCAGGTGAAGGAAGAGTGGCCCCTCCCCGAGTTGTAAGTCAGGACAAGGCCCACCTGTCCAAGGTATTGGGACCTATTCAGGGGAACCTCAGGTCCTCCACCCACTCCCCATCCATTACGATGCCAGCTTCCAGCCTTGCCCAGGTCAGAGCTGTGGCAGAGGAAAGGCAGCCAGGCCCCGTTTCTGCTCGCCTCCTGCTCAGGAACGCCAGGCCTGACGAGGTGTTTGGGAGAGGAATAAAGTCGTGTGGTGGCGCATGCACTCGTGCACACAGCCCTTTTCTCCGGGGAGTTTTATTTCCTCAGCAGCTGTTTCTCCCATGCCTGGGATTGTGCTAATGTGGGGCCTGGGCGAAGCCTGGGGCCGGTGGGCGTCTCCCTCAGACTGGGCAACCTCAGATTCCCCAGGCGAGTTCCTGCAGCCCTCTTTGGGCCCAGGCCGTCCTGGAGGGGCTCTGGCTGTTTTCTTTGCCTGTTGGTGACATGATAGCAGCCCCTGCCTCATGGCCTGCATGGGGGCCAGCTGGGCTGTGCTGTGGCAGGTTCTGGAACAGTGATCTGATAGCATCCAAGGCAGACCATCTGGGTGAGACTTGGGCCAGGGGAGGCCTCACTCTCGTCTCTCCCTGGCCTACACTCCTCTCAGTTGACGCTGGGCCACTCAGTGCAAGAGGCACTGCTGTCTATCAGGAAGACAGTGGTGTATAGCAGCTCCTGGGCCTGCCCAGAGAAAGGCCTGTTACAAGAGGGCTCCCCAACCAGCCCCTCGCCTCTGCCCTGGCACACGGCACTCCGGAGCAGTGGGCATCGGCCTGGGCCTGGGCTCCCACTGCATGCCATGCTGGGGCGAGGCCCTCACATCCACCTTCCCAAGGTGGCCAGAGGCCTGGCCACTCACCTGTGGCAGCTCAAACCAGATGGTCTGGGGGTTGTCAGCTGAGCCATAGTTGAGTTCCAGGCCAGGGGGCCCCTTCTCCTCCAGTGGACTTAGCAGGTGGAGCCGCTGCAGGCTCTTCAGGGCAATGCGACAGTACAGATTCTGGGGGCAGCAGAGAGCAGGGCTGGTCTCCTCTCCAGGGAGGGGTCACTGTGGGTGATGGAATGGCCCAAGGGTCCCTCGGCCAGAGCTGGGGCAAGAGCCCTGCCCACCTGGGAGCTGGGGTCCATGAGGATGAGATGCTGGCGGTTGAGCCCCAGGAGAGCGGGTCCCGACAGGGCCTGCAGGCTCACTCTCAGCGCTACGTAGACGGTATAGCCGAAGAGGGGCAGCTGGCTCACGGCCTCTGCGGGTGGAGAGGGCGCAGGCAGGAATTCTGACTGCTAGGGCCCTGGAACCTGCGCTGCTTGGCCCCTCAGGTCAGCTGAGAGGGACAGGGCAGGTGCAGACCCTTCCTCGCCCCTCTACCTGCATTCCTTCCCTCTTGGCCTCCAGCCCCCACCCCAGCGGTCCCAGCCCCAGACCCACCAATGAAGCTGATCTGTGCTTCCTGGGGGCTGTGTCCTCCCAGCTGTCTCAGCTCCTGACCCATCAGGTTCTTGATGGAGGCCATGTTCACCTGCCGTTGCAGCTGCTGTGGCACATAAGCTAGCAGGTCCTGCCTAGGATGCGGGGCCGGGGTCAGTGTGGCCCCTGACCACCTGGTACAGGGCTGGGCATACAGCATGTGCCAAATAACTGAACCAGTGCCTATTGTGGGCAAGACTAGGGATCCATACACATAAATGAGGTGAGGGCCCTGAACCAGAGGAGCTCACGGTGGGGTGGAGAGGACAGATGTCCACCAGGCCCTGCTGCTCTGGGCCAGTCCAGTTAGGGCCAGGAAGGGTACCAGTCAAATGGCCTTGACCTTGGAGAAGGGGAGGGGCTTAGGGGCGGGAGGTGCCCCCACTCACTCTGAGGGAGTGTTCCTGTTGGCCTTGCTGAGGTGCTGCAGGGCGGCCAGCCTGGCGAGCTGCGCGTCCGCCTTGGCGCTGACCGGCAGCTTCCCCTGGAGGTAGTCCCACAGCACCTGTGCGGGGAGCATGGTGAGGAGAGCAGAGGTGGCCCAAAGCCCCCATCAGTTGGTGGCTCTAGGGGCTCAAGCCTAGTTTTGCCACCGTCACCCCCCAGCCACCACAGACCCACACCCTTGTGGGGAGGGGGGCTTGGAAGTCGCCCAGGCAGGAAGCCGCGCCCTCAAACTGCAGCAGCGGCTCGGAGGCAGGCAGGCTGACCTGGCTGTAGTGGGTGCTGATGTAGATGGAGTTATCGAAGTGCAGTGGGGTCTCCCAGCCGAGCCGCCGGCTGTGCAGGCTCACGTCCTGGTCCACTGCCACGCTGTTGAGGTATTCAGCAGGCCGCAGGGGCCGCACCAGCTTGCCTGCATGGGGACCCTAGGTCCACCGCTGCTCAGACCATGCACACCCCACCCTGCCACCCCAGCAGAAACCAAACCACCTCACCCCCGGGCGGGGGAGGGGCCCCACAGTGAGGCTCCGTCCCCAAGCTCACCCTTCTCTTTGATGAGGAAGAGGACGAATTCCTGCACTTCCTGAGGCTCTGTGATGCCCATTTGCTGGCACAGCTCCTCCTGCACTTCTGCTGCCACCTGGGCATGTGGACAGGCTGTGATGAGGGGGAGGGACTCTGGAGGGCCCAGAACTGATGCCCAAGGCCACCTCCCTTGGTGGCCCCCAAGCTTACCGTGAAAGTATGGATATTCGTCCTATAATCCACACCTCCTGGCAGGTGAATAAGAAGCAGGCGAGTGGCTTGTCCTTTCTGCCAAGGCAGGTTGCAGGATCAGTCAGCCAGTGGTCAGTCGGCCAGTGGTCTCCTGTGGGGGACACCCCCCCCCACCCCAGGGTGTCCCACAATGCCCATCCGCCACCCCCAGTACCAGGAAAGCCTTCATTTCAGCCGGTGGGAGCATCCGCCGGCGCCCCCCATATTTGACTGTGTGCTGGAGGTGCTCCTGGCTGCTCCGGGCCAGCTCTGCAGAGGAGCCAGGCTGGGGTTATGAGGTGGCCAGGCCTCCCCAAGCCCTCCAAGTTCCCAGTCCTAGAAACCCCTGCCCCCCTCCATCTCCCCCTCCCACGGGCACCTTGGCTGGGGCCTGAATCCTGCAGGAACTTGGTCAGGTAGGGCATCAGCCTGGTCGACGGAGAGAAGCAGCCTGTGAGAAGGCTGAGGAAGCTCCAGCCTCGAATGCAGTGTTCCCTGCAGGGCAGAGAGTTCGGGCTTCAGGCTGGCCAGGCCACAGTGCCCAGCTGCCCCCAGAAGCCTTTCCACCCCACCGGTCCCCACTCACGGCCGGGGGTGTCCCGTGACCTGCTTGATAACCTGGCAGTAAATCTCATCCCTCAGCTTCTCCTCCTGGCACAGCTGCGGGGATAGGAAGGGCAGGTGGGGTGAGGGATGGGAGTGGTAAGCCTGGGGTCTGAAGCTCTGGAGAAATCCTGCTAGGCCATGGGCGGGGGCTGGGTCAAGATGTCTCCCTCAGCTTAAGAGCATCACTGCACTGGCTACTCAGTCACTTTCTTCGCTGCTTCCCTGTCTCCCTCTGTCACGCAGGCTGGAATGTGATGGCGTGATCTCGGCTCACTGCAATCTGTTTCCCAGGTTCAAGCAATTCCCCTGCCTCAGCCTCCCGAGTACTATAGGCACGCCACCACACCTGGCTAATTTTTGTATTTTTAGCAGAGATGGGGTTTCACTATGTTGGCCAGGTTTAATCTCTGACTTCAGATGATCTGCCCATCTTGGCCTCCAAAGTGCTGAAGTCAGAGATTAAACCTGGCCAACATAGTGAAACCCCATCTCTGCTAAAAATACAAAAATTAGCCAGGTGTGGTGGCGTGCCTATAGTACTCGGGAGGCTGAGGCAGGGGGTTACAGGTGTGGGCCTCCGTGCCCGGTCTTTTCATATATTTATTTTATTTTTTGAGACAATCTTGTTCTGTCGCCCAGGCTGGAGTGCAGTGGTGCCATCTCGGCTCACTGCAATCTCCACCCTCCTGGGTTCAAGCGATTCTCCTGCCTCAACCTTCTGAGTACTACAGGAGTGCTCCACCACGCCCAGCTAATTTCTGTGTTTTTAGTAGAGATGGGGTTTCACCATGTTGGCCAGGTTGGTCTAGAACTACCTCAGGTGATCCACCCACCTCGGCCTCCCAGAGTGCTGGGATTACAGGCGTGAGCCACATGTCTGGCCCCTGCTTCTCTGATCTCTTAGTCATCTCTGCTGGCTTCACCTTAACTCCTTGACCTCTGAGCGGTGCCATGCCCTTGAACCTCTCTCTGTCTGCCCCTCTCCCTGTGGCCTCAACTGCTCCCATCTGATGAGGTGCCTGCCTCCAGCCTTCTCCCTTGAACCCCAGACTCCTCCACTGGGAAGTCTGGGATTTCAGACCTCACGTGTTCAAAACAGATTCCTCCACCAGCCAAGACCTGCTCCTTGAAGACAGTAGTTGTCCTCCTTCCCGTAGCCCACATGCGATTGGTCAGCACACTCTGCTGGCTCTGAATCTTCTGCTTCTCCCTTGCTGCCAGCACCATCCCTCACCTGGGACCACTGCGATAACTTCCTTTTGCTTTTAAACTTAGACCCCCAGAATCTCAAACAACAGCCGAGTGACCCTGTGAAATGTAAGCCGAGTCTCTCTCCAGAATCCTCTTAGTGGTTTCCCATCTTTCTAAAAATCAGAAGCCAATGATGGCTACAAGGCCTGTGGTGGCCTGGACCCACCGTCTGCTCCCCGTCCTCATCCTCCGTTCTCCGTGCTGCTCGCTAGGCTCAGCCACTGGTGTGTGCTGGTGTGTGATGATGCCGAGGCTTCCCACCACATCTGAACTGTTGCCTGCCCTTCTGTGTCACCCTGTGCTCACTCCTTCCCTCCCTGTAGGAAGGCTGCCACAAAGCCTTCTCCACTGCAGCAGCCCCTTCCCTGCATTCTTTTTTTTTTTTTTTTTTTTTTTTTTTGAGTCTCGCTCTGTCGCCCAGGCTGGAGTGCAGTGGCCGGATCTCAGCTCACTGCAAGCTCCGCCTCCCGGGTTTACGCCATTCTCCTGCCTCAGCCTCCTGAGTAGCTGGGACTACAGGCGCCTGCCACCTCGCCCGGCTAGTTTTTTGTATTTTTAGTAGAGACGGGGTTTCACCAAGTTAGCCAGGATGGTCTCGATCTCCTGACCTCGTGATCCACCCGTCTCGGCCTCCCAAAGTGCTGGGATTACAGGCTTGAGCCACCGCGCCCGGCCTTCCCTGCATTCTTACTCTCCAGTGACCTCTCACTCCCAGACACATAAGTTACCGTAAGCACTGCAGAGACTTAGCCTGCTGGCTTCACAGCCACGCCCCCTGCATGCAATGGGTGTTCAGTAAATAGTTTGGAATGATTTGAAGGACAGTGACCAAGAGAAGGGGATCTCCTTCAAGCCCAGACAGGAGGACAGGCACAGGTGCTGGGCGTCACACAGCCCAGGCTTACCTTTAGCAGTTCATAGAGCAGATCCATCTCATCCTTGCCCCGGGGCTTGGACTGGTCACCCATAAACCGCATCAGGGCTGCAGGCAGGATAAGAAACAGGGCACACAGCTGGGGCTGTGCTGGGGCTGGCCCCGGCTCATGCTGTTGCTGTGCAGGGCCTTCACCTGCCATCTGATGCCTCACTCTCAAAATGCATGGATGCCAGCCAGGGCAGCTGGTTGCAGCTCGACTCATGGGGAGACTGAGGCTCCTGGGTACCCAAGGCTGCACACAGCACATAGCATCCTCTGGACCCATGGACTGCCTTCCAACCCCAGACTCCACACAACCCACAACCCTTGGGTGGGAGTAGTAGGCGGTGAGGGCCCTGGAGTCCAGGAGCCACCAGTGAGCTTCCCGGAGTTGGCAGACTGGGATGGAGCCAGGCAGAGCTCAAGGAGATAAAGGGACCAGACACCCAGGTCCATGGCACTGCAGACATGGGGACCCAGGATGCCCATGGCCACTCACCCAGGAAGCTGGCCACAGCCAGCTTGTTCACGTCATCACTGAGGCTGAGGAGCGACTCCTGAATGGGAGCCTGTGGCCAAAGAGAGGAGGCTGTGGGTCTGGGGGCTGCGGGGGTCAGAGGGCAGATCCATGGGCCAGATCCCTCCCTGCCTCTCCCTCACCTTGGTGTACTGCACCAGGCTGTCTGTGTCCTTCCCTGTAGCACCTCCATCTGTCTGGCCCAGCCTGTGGGGGGCAGGGGGAGACAGCCCAGCTTGTTTGGCCCTCCTGCCCTCATCCCAGCCAGCCAGGCTGGGCTAAGAGCACAGCCTAGTGGTTCAGAGCAAGGCGCGCTCTCTTGGGAAGACTGAGGATAGACAGGCACAGGGGTCGGCCCAGTGCACTCACAAGGCCTGGGACTTCCGGAAGTAACGCAGGGCGAATTCCTGCATGGTGTAGTTGTGGGAGTCGGTGGACAGAGAGGCATAGGACACAGAGGAGGGCAGGCTGGTGGCCTCCAAGTCGTCACTGTGTGCCTGGCTCCAAGGGTGGGCAGGGCGCTGGGAGCACAAGAAACCTGGTGCCACCTGAGTGTCCAGTGCCCTGTCCCAGGGGTCCTGCCCCAGCCCCATCCCTCCCCAGCCAGACACCAAAGGAGCAAGACCAGAAGCCAGGAAAGCGAAGAGCTGTTTATTAAGCATCTGCTAGGGCAGCATTGAACTAAGTGCCACACGGGACCCAAGAGCAGCGCCCAGCCTAGCCCTGCCCTGCCCTGCCTGCAAGGAGCGCACAGTCTTGCTGGAGAGACAAGGCGAGCCATCAGGAGGGGGCAGAGGGGCAGCCACAGGAGACGGACAGCAGGGTGGTCCCACTGCATGGCAGCCTCGGGGGCGGTCAAACCCCTTTCCTTCCTCAGTCTCAGGCAGGCCTTGCCTGTGGTTCTCCTTCTGCCACCTTCCTCACCTCTGAGGCCCTGTCCCACCGAGCCAGCCCTGGTTCCCCGTTGGGCAGCTGACCCTTGTGCCAGCCACTCCTCTGCTCCTTGGAGAAGGAAAAGTCGGGAGCGGCAGCCGGCTGCACTATGTCGGCAGGAAAGAGTCCGGAACGGCCTCCGGCAGAGCCAAACTGCCAGCCTGGAAGGCACCCAGGGATGTGGCTCACCCGCCGGACCCTCCGCCCCTAGGCAGCCTCTGCCAAGTGGATGCCCTCCCTGTGTGAGCCCCTGCCGGCCTCTGGCGATACCTGGCTCCAGGGTGGCCACCGGCAGCAGCTTGATGAGGTCCCCACGGTGGAAGCTGAGGAGGCTGCAGTTGTCAGTGATGTAGCTGCGCAGGGCGATGACATAGCCAGAGTCCTGTGGGCAAGCGGGTGAGGGCCTGGAGCAGGGAGCCTGCCTGCGCCTCCCTGTCCTGCCTTCCCACCTGCTCCCCTTGCTGGCCTCCCCCTCCACCTAGCACCCCAGACTTCCAGGGATTTAGCCCAAACTCCCAGCCCCTGCCCCCACAGGGAAGACGGACAGGGGGAGATGCAGCATCGGTGAGGGCTGCCCGCCCGGCCTCCCAACCCGCACCCCATACTTGCCTTCTTAAGCTCACTGAGGAACAGTTTAACCAGCGCCTCGATGGCCCTTGCCCGGGCTGTGTGCAACACCAGCTGCTCGCTCTTCAACGACAGCTGCAGGGTGGAGCTGCCCCGGCACTCCACACCCAGCACCTCCGAGAAGCTGCGCAGGGGCCGCGCATGAGCTGGGGTCACCTTGCCACCTGCCCCCACCTCTAGCCCAGGGTCGTGGGCCAGCGCACCTGTATGAGCAGAGAATCTTCAGCTGGTGGGGGCGGAGGCTGGAGGCTTGGGTCACCTTGAGCAGTCGCAGCCCGCGGTGGGACACGGCTAGCAGCTGCACGTCGCTGCCACTCTCACCCTACAGGAAGGTGGTGGGTCTCAGGCAGGCTCCTGGGTCCTGCTACTGCCCAAGATGCCCTGGAGCTGCCCAGGGCCGGTGGCTGGGCTTTGTCCTTCCCCTGGCGCCTGCCCCCCAGCTCTCCTGCTTGTGGAGGGTCCGTGCCCACGCACCCCAGGTTCCAGGCTGGGGGCCTGGCATCCCAACTCCCTACCCCAGCACCACTGACCGAGACAGGAAAGAAGCGGGAGAAGTAATTGGCCCAGTTGTCCCGAGCAGCCACCACGATGCGCTTCTTGACGCCGTCTTCAGTGGTGGTGAGAGAATCCAGGTCCACCTCCAAGTCTCCTGTGGGCAGGAAGGACCCAGGCTGTCCTCTGCTCACACAGAGAGGGCTCTAGAGTTTGCTCCCATGCTGCTTCCTCCTCCAGGGCAGGCGCAGCCCCCAGCACTCAAGCTCCCAACTCCACGGTCCCTGGACCCATACCCAGCAGGTCTTTCATTTTCCGCCGCTCATCCTGGGAAATCCGGATACAGGACTCAGAGAAGGTGTCCCGCAGGATCTGGGGGCAGAGCTAGGTAGTCACCACTGGGTCCTGAGACAGAGCCCACCCCCAGAGCAGCCATCAACATGCATGAAGGAAAAGCTGGGGAGGCCGATGGAGGGCGCCCTGGCCCCCGTGGCCTGAATGCTAAGCAGAAGGCCTAGGTGGGGCAGGGAGGGACGGAGGGCTTGGGCCACCTCCATTCACACGTCTCACATGTCCCCTCCCCTGCAACTGCCAGCCCTCCCTTTTCACCCACTGCCCAGAGACCCCATGGTAACTGCCCCTGGGTCAGCCCAGATATATGATTTTTCGGGGCAGGGGGCGGCTGCTACTGCAGAATTTGGGGGAACAGAGGCTCACTCCTGGGAGTGTTCAGAGGTGGCAAAGTCACAACCATTTATTAAGTACCTACTGCATGCTAGAGCCTGTGTTGTGCACTGTACACACTTTACTTTTAATCTTTATCTATAAAACTAGGTGAATAATGGTCCCTACTTCTTGTTGTTGTTGAGACACAGTCTCGCTCTGTCACCCAGGCTGGAGTGCAGTGGCACAATCTCGGTTCACTACAACCTCTGTCTCCCGGGTTCAAGCAATTCTCCTGCCTCAGCCTCCCAAGTAGCTGGGATTACAGGTGTGCACCACCATGCCTAATTTTTGTATTTTTTAGTAGAGATGGAGTTTCACCATGTTGGCCAGGCTGGTACCGAACTCCTGACCTCGTGATCCACCCGCCTTGGCCTCCCAAAGTGCTGGGATTATAGGCGTGAGCATCGCGCCTGGCCATGGTCCCTACTTTTTAGGGATGTTGTGAAGATTCAATGAAGGCAGGGCTGGGCACACAGAAGTGCCCCCTAGTGCTGGCTGCCAACATGCCCTACATGGTGTTAACCTGGCCCAGCCATTAGACAAAGAGCACCAGGGATGCTGTCTCTACAGATGTCTCAGGCTGGCAGGTGGGCCAGCTCTCACCTGCTCACAAAGCAGCCGCAGGTAGTAGGGATGGCTCAAGTTCTCCCGTGGGTAGAACACCTGGAGGAGGGCACAGAAGGGCAAAGATCGGTGGGTCTGGTGCCTCTGCCTAGCCAGCCTCTGCCCTCCCAGGCCTGGAAAATCAGCCTTGAGATAGTGGGCTGTGGGGAGGGGATGCTGGGGTTCCAGACTGGGACACACAAAGCCTGCTGCCTCTCTGCCAGCCCAAAGAGGCCAGGCCAAGGCCCCACCCTCATGCCCACCTCCTTGCGTAGGAACAACTTCCAGGGCTTGCCAGTGTAGGAGAAGCACACGCTGGCAGAGGGCGCGAGTAGCTGGGTGGAAACGCCCTGGTCCTCCATGGGCTGTGTCAAGCCTGGCAGGGAGGAAGGGGTGAGGAGCCTCAGCGAGGGGCTTCAGAACCAGAGTGATGGGGGCACGGGAGGGAAGACCTTTGTCCCCAAGAACCCACCAAGGGCCCAGCTCTCTCAACCTCCAGCTGCCTTACTCCTTCCACAGCACCATCTCCTGCCTCCATTTCTGGCCCTAAACTTTCTCTGGAGTCCCTGAGACTCGTGGGCCCTCTATGACCATGTCAGCCAGGACCACTAACTTCCTCACAGAGCCGTCAGGTATGTGTCAAGGACAACACCCTGTGTGTGACAGCCTCTTAATGACAGCCTCAAAGATGCCCAGGCCCTGCCCTGGGTGGGAACACGGAAGCTGGGACTCCTCAGCTACATATGGCTCCAAAGTCCAGAAGCCCGAACAGCTGGCCTCAGCCACACCAAAATGCCTTCAACCCTGGGCACCAAGAGTCTGCGCGAGCCCTGCCTCTGCCGCAGTGAAGCCCACGGCGCAGGGGAAGTGTGGTTCCTTACAACGGCGCTCGGCTGAAAGGGTCCCTGGGTCCTCGGGCAGAGGCAGTGGTGGCGCTGGTGGAGGTGGGGGTGTCTGGGCAGTGGGCAGCTTCTGGCCAAACAGGTCCAGAAGGGGCCCCTGCTTTTCCTTGATGGAGCTAGAGGGCCCAAGCTGTAGTGGGGCCTTGGGTCGAGGAGCCACAGCTGGTGGGGGGCCCTTTCCTGGGCTGGAGGACAGCATCTGGGGGGATATAGAGAAAGCACATGGGCTGATTCACAGCACAAAGCCAAGTTCACCCCAGAGAGCCTTGGGCTCCCCAGTGCAGCAGCGCACACTCTCGGGGGGACAGGTTGGGGTGCTCACCGGCGGGGACGAGTGGGCATCGTTGATACCCAGCTTGGCCAGAGCCTCGTCCTTGGGGTCGATTTTCTTCAGGAAAGTTTTGGGAGGCCTCGTGGGAGAAGCGAGAGGTCACTAAGTTCATAGGGTGATTCCCCGAGGAGCAGGACAGCCCTGGCCACCTCCCCCTGGGGGCCCACCTGGATGGCTGCACAGGCACAGGCACGGGGCCCGGGCGGCTCTGGTACATGCGGATGATGTTGCCAATTTCCCTGCTGGGTTGTGGCCGCTTGGGCCTGGGGTCTGAGCTGCGCACCATGATCCCCCTGCCTTGGGCTGGCCCTTGGCCACCGCCCTTGGCCACTGTCTCCTTGACTGGCTCAGCCTCAGCCTCTTTTGCAGCTTTGGCCCCACCTTGCTTCAACGGCTTCTTCATGATGGGGGGAGGAGGAGGGGACGGCACTGACCAGGAAAACACGAAAGACCGTCAAATGCTGTGCAGAGCCACAGGAGCCCCAGGCCCTGCCCAGCTCCCCACAACCTGCTCTTGTTTCCACTTCTTGCTCCTCCTGCTCCTCCTGCTCCTCCTCCTCCTCCTCCTGTGCCTCCCCCTGGGGGATCTGGACCTTGGCGGGAGGCTTCACCGTCCTCACTGTCATCTGCGGCTGTCCTGCAAGTGTCCAGATGGCCTTCAAAGTTACCACACTAGCCCAGCTGGGCTCCTGGATGGGCCGCACCAACTCCGGGGAGCAGAGTACACCTCACCCTCCCTGGCCCAGGCTAGGGGCACTGGCCGTGTTTCTACAGGGGCCTGCTGCCCCAAGTGCCCTCACCCATCTTCTGGAAATAGTTCCGTTTCTGCTGGAAGCTCTTGGGCCGACAGGGCCTGTCTTCAGCCTCCTCGGAGGTCTCCTGGCAGGAGCAGAAGTGAGTGGCAGCTCAGCCAGCCTGGGTGCCACACTCGCCACACCCCTCGGGTCCCCAGTCCTGGGCCAGCAGCCTCTTCCCTGCACTTGCCTACTCACCCTGCCCATGTCCCCTGCCCCTGCAGCCCCCACCCCACACCCCTTCCTGAGGACACGGTCACCTCCTCACCCTCAGGCAGCCACCCTCTGATTCCAGGTCATGCTGTGGCTTCTCCAGGGCTGTGGGGGGCTTCCTGGGCTTGGAGGTGATGGCTGAGGGTGAGGCCTGGGACGCAGCCTCGGAGGCCCGAGCCTGACGCTGCCGCTGCTGCGTCTGCTGCTCCAGGGACAGGGTCATGGCCTGAGCTGTCATCTGCTGGGCCTGAAGCAGGAGGAGCAGCCGGTTCAGACCCTCATCCTCAAGCCATAGACCTCCCTCCACCAGGTAGCCCCAGGGCCCTGCCAGCACTCACCAGGATTAGTGCCTGCTGGTTGATGAAGTTCTGCTGCTGGATGGCCAGCTGCCCTGCGTCCAGGCTGGGAAGCGGTGGCTGCGGTGGCACCACCATGGCTGTGAGGGCGGCAGGCGGCCAGAGCGGTGGGCACCGTGGCCAAAAGCTCTCCGCCCACTGTGCACTCGGGACTCCTAGCAGGACCCTCCCTCCTCCAGTGACTGCTCTCCTGAGAAGGGACTCTGGTGCCCCCAGCCCAGCCTTACCTGGCATGGCAGGGACTGTGCCCATTGCTGGCATCATGGGCATGGGTGCAGGGACCATGCCTGGCTGGTATCCAGGCATCTGAATCATTCCTGGGTACACTGAGGGAACACGCCCACCCCGTCAGTCCTTGCCTGGACCCACATGCCACCTCCCTCCAGCCCCAGGCACAGAGAAGAGCATCAGGCACCAGGGAGCTGGCCAGGGCACCGATCGCCATTGCCAGAGAGGTCCCAGGCCATGCCTGCCATGCTGCCGGGCCCGGAGGCCCTGGGTGAGGAATCAGCCCTCACTCACCCATGGGGTACCCCTGCTGCGTGGGCCCAACGGCGCCCCCTCCCTTCATGCGGCTGCTCAGAGCCCAGCTTTGTTCCAGATCCTGAAGGGACAATGGTCACAGGTCAGAGCGAGAGCCCTGAGAAAAATGGAAGGGGCAGCAGAGACCCTGGGGGTTGGGGCAGGGGTATGCAGGGGCTGTGCTGGACTCACACTGAGGCCAGAGGACATCACTGGCTGGAAGATCTGGTCCAGGAAGCCGTCTAGGCTCCCTGATCTCTGGACCTCCCCTGTGGGGCAGGGAGAGGGTTGGTGCCACGGCCCGGGGCATGGGGCTTCCCATGCTCTGCCAACCTCCATGTGCCCACTCTAGCCTTACCTGTGTGGTCCCTGCTGGGCAGCGTTGGGGCTGGACCTGGAGGGGGTCCTGGGGGCAGTGAGGGGGCCTGGATGCCAGGGGCAAGGGGAATGGCCTCGGTTCTGCAGGAAACAGGATCTAGTTAAGGGGGTGGCCAAAGCTGACCATCACCCAGGCTGGGGCATGAGGCAGAAGCTGCTGTGGGGGTCGCCCCATGGTTGGGAGGAGGCTGGGTGGGAGGGCTGGGCCTGTGGCAGCTCCTATAAACCCCTGGCTGTGGCACGGTGGCTGTGGGGTTCCCCAGCAGGAGCAGGCCAGGGAGAGGGGTGCTGGGTGGCACTTACGAGCCAAGAGGAGTGATGGGGTAGCTGTGGGGAGCAGCTGGGTCCCCCAGGTCCTCAGTCTGGCTGATTAGGTCCAGCACAAAGTCGCAGCCAGCCAAGTCCTGCCATGTGTCCCTGGAATGCAGTGACACGGACCAGCCCCGGGGAGGCACCTCCAGGCCTCTGGGTGGGAGGGGAGCAGTCAGTGAGGCAGGCGGCCATCCAGAAGGGGCAAGGACCACAAGGCGGAGGACTGGGGAAGGGAGGGTGGCCCTGGAACCACCTGGTCCGGGACCCAGGTTGTCTCGGCAGCGGGGACTACTCCTCACCTCACGGCCCTCCATTTCCACAAGGGCTCCAGCGTGGGCATTTATTTTCTGATCTACTGAGTTAGAATCTGGGCCATGGGAGCTCCCATGCCCCTCATTTCTAATCTGCTCCTGGCTCCCCATCGCCAGCCATCTGCAGTCTGGCCCCTGCCCACCCCAGGGCACCTCCCCTCCCTGCCCCTGAGACTGGGGGCACAATGATCACTTTGGCCACACTGTCCCCCATCTCCGGTCGCCATACCTGCTCTGCAGGATCCACCCAGCCAGCTGCTCCCCGGTGGTCCAGGACTCCACCTCGGCTGAGTAGCACTCCTCTATAGGGGCGCGGGGGTCGGGGGCAAGAGTGAGGGACAGCAGGGTCCACCCTGACAGGAAGGGGCTGCTGTCCCCATGAGGGTTTCAAAAGCAGGACAGAGGGGAGAGAGAACAGGGTCACTGAGGACAGGGCAGCAGGAAGGCTGGGGCAGGAAGGGGTTCCGGGGAGGGCAAAGGGGTAGGGCTGGCCCCACTTCAGGTCTGGGAGGCGTCAGCCGAGGCAGCCCTCACCGCTGAAGGTGAACACGTCCAGCGCCATGCGGCCCCGCCGCCATCCGGCCATCCACTCCAGCTGGGTTGGAGGGTGGGCCCGAGTGGCCCCTGGGGCCAACTGCGACTGCTCCAAGGCCCCCAGCAGCTTGTGCTGGCACAGCGCTTCCATGCCCCTGGGGGCCTGGTCAGATACAAACCTGCAGGGCAGGCACAGGCTGCAGTGGAGGCAGGGTGATCCAGCGACCCCACCTGCCAGGTCCCCACCTTCCAGGCCCCTTACTTGAGCAGCGGCTTCTGCAGGACAGGCAGTGGGGGAAAGGCGCTGAGCAGAACAGCCATGAGGGCCCAGCCCCGCTGGCTCTGCTGTTCGTCTGGGTTCTGCCATAGCTGGGCCACCAGCTGGCTGAAGAGCTCATTCCGCAGCCCTGGCCGGCACTGCCCCTGCCGCACCAGGTATGTGCCCATGGTCTGCCTCTGCCAGGACTCTAGGGATCCATCCCCTAGGAGCCGCAGCATCTGCCGACATAGCTGGGTAAGGACAAGACGTGCAGGGCTCCCAGGCGCCCATCCTGTCCCTTCTCCAATGTGTCACTCACCACTTTGTTGATGTCCAGGGCATGCTGAGGGTTCTCTCCGTCCAGCTGGGTTAGGGGCTTCACCAGTGGCTGCCCTGGCCTGGGCAGGGATGGCTCCTGCAAGGAAGGAGGGCTAGTCCACGCTCACCAGCTGTCAGACAGACCCAGGGGAGCCCCACCGGAGCAGGCACTTCGGGAGAGGCAGAGGGCTGGACAGAAATGCATCTTAATGCTGTTTTTTTTTTTTTTTTTTTTTCTTTTGAGGCAAGAGTCTTGCTCTGTCACCCAGGCTGGAGTGCAGTGGCACAATCTCAGCTCACTGCAGCCTCCACCTCCCAGGTTCAAGTGATTCTCCTGTCTCAGCCTCCTGAGTAACTGGGATTACAGGCACCTGCCATCATGCCCAGCTAATTTTTGTACTTTTAGTAGAGACTGGGTTTCACCATGTTGGCCAGGCTGGTCTCAAACTCCTGACCTCAGGTGATCCACCCACCTCGGCCTCCCAAAGTGCTGGGATTACAAGCATGAGCCACCATGCCCGGACTGTATGTGCAGTTTTGAATCCTGCATTTGTATTTACTGCTGAAGTCTGGACAGTTTCCCTTGTCAATAAACATTGTTAAGGTCATGACTTCAAAAGCAGGGCACTACTGCAGGTACAACAAAGGTGTGGCATCGTGGATCTAAATAACTTCTCCCATCCAATAACACTGATAACGCTCTATGGAGAGACATTTACATTCAACGGTTATTTTCAGAGCAATTCAGCGCTATTCACAGCCCTAAAGGCTGGGGAGGGAGGAGGGAAATAGCTGAAAGCAGGGGAAAAAATGCAGCTTCTGCCAGGCAGGTGCTAACTCAGAATGGTGAGGCTAGTGGGAAGAGCTTAGGCCTGGGCACCTACCTGAAAGCCGATGGAGACGAAGCTGGAGAAAGGGAACCGGTCAATGTCTGGTGGGAGAGTCAGGCTGGGCCGGGCAGGAACCTCAGGGGGCAGGCACTCTGTGATGCTCCCAGCCAGGGCATCCTGATGGCCTGGGAACAAGCACCGGGAGGCAGCCCAGGAACACCCAGGTGTGGTACCTGGCCCTGGGACCACCTCCACCCCTCCCCACGAGCCATCAGCCCCTGTCCACAGGGACCCAAGCAGTGAGCTTAGCAGAGCCTGGAGCATCAGAGGGAGGAACCACAAGGGACAGACACATCCCATGGTAAAGGGACTGGAGAGGGGGTCCTAACAAGAGGACACCAACAAGACTTACCTTCCGCCGTCTTCAGCATGACGGCCAGCTCAGCCGGAATCTCCAAGCGCCCCAGCTCCTGGCAGAGGGGGCCCATTTACCCAGGATCCACAGGAGGGACCTAGGGACCAGTGTCCATCCCTACACCCTTACCCCCAAGATTATAAACATCCCCTCCAGAGACCAAGTTTTTTTTTTTTTTTAATTTGAGACAGGGTCTCTGTCACCCAGGCTAGAGTGCAGTGGTGCGATCACGGCTCACTGCAGCCTTGACTTCCGAGACTCAAGCTCAAGCGACCCTCCTGCCTCAGCCTCTTGAGTAGCTGAGACTACAGGCGTGTACTACTGTGTCCAGCTGACTTTTACTGTTTTTGTAGAGATGTTACTCAGGCTGGTCTCAAATTCCTGGGCTCAAGCAATCCTCTCACCTCGGCCTCCCAAAGTGCTGGGATTACGGGTATGAGTCACCACGCCCAGGCAAAGACCAAGGATTCTAACCCTGGACACTCAAACAAACAGAGCTCCAAGGACCCTCTGAGGGAAACCAAGAGCCAAGGGCACCCAGGTCCTCTTCTCAGGAGGTGCAATGTCTGGCCCTGAGGGACAGGACCCGTAGTAGCACCCTGGCAGCCCTCTAAGCCATCCCAGTCTCAGCAGGTTCACAGTCCCACGTAGAACCCCCCACCTTCCAGGCCACCTACCATGCTTGGCACTCTCTCCAAGGCCCTTTCGCTGCTGTGCCAGCGCTGCCAGTGCCCAAGCTGTTGGAGGAGATGTGGAAAGAGCTGATGCCTCCCATGTGAGTCACCTGGGGGAACCTCCCCAGCTCTGAAGTTCAGCTGTCCCCTCTTGCCCCTGGGAGGTTCTCAGCAAAGGAGCGAGAACAGATCAGGAGGGGTCAGCTACCCCTGGCCCTCCAGGGCCCTCACCAGCCTTAGCGCTGTGGGCGTCCGTGCCCATCTACCAGGGCACCGGGAAGAGGGCAGGAAGAAGGGAAGAAATGGTCCCAGGGGACAAAGTCCAGGCAGGGAGGGGTCAGAGAGGGGTTAGCACGTGGGCATTGACCTTTGAGCTGCTTTATAGACCTTAGATGAGAGTTATCAGGCAAAAGAGGGGAGCGGAAGGGGCCCAGGGGAAGCCTGGAGGGGATGGGAACCCTAGGCAAGAGGGAAGAGCCAGGCCCTGGGGAGAGTGGGCAGGAATGGAAGAAGACAGCACCTTCCAAAGGCCCCAGCCTGCCCCGGCCGGAGGGAAAAGGGATGAGTTCAAGGAGCACTGTGTCCAAAGCCACAGTCCTTGAGATGCTGGGCTGAGAGGGTCGATGCTGCTGGGATTTGGCCAGTTCGGCCAGCTCAGGCAGCCTGGCTTCTACCCTGAGCTGCCCCCCGCCAAGCCCCTGTACCTGCAGTCTCTGCCGCCTCCGGAGCAGGGGCTGGGCCACCAGCAGGATGGTGTTCAGCTGTCCCAGAGCTGCCCGCCGCCGGAGGCACCGCTTCCTGGAGGCCGGGAGAGGGCGGGGGCAAAATGAAGAGTCCAAACTTATGCTTCCTGCCTGGCATTGGAATCCCCTAAGCCTGGACATTCATGTAAAAACTGACTTTGGACTAGAGAAGCCCTGGATGCTTCACAGAAACAACAGGAAAAGAATAGGATACTTCAAAAGAAGAGCAAGGGTTGGGTGCAGTGGCTCATGCCTGTAATCGCAGCACTTTGGGAGGCCAAGGCGAGTGGATCACTTGAGGTCAGGAGTTCAAGACCAGCCTGGCCAACATGGCAAAACCCTGTCTCTACTAAAAATACAAAAATTACAGCACACCTGTAATCCCAGCTCCTCAGGAGGCTGAGGCATGAGAATTGCTTGAACCTGGGAGGCAGAGATTCAAGTGAGCCTAGATTGCGCCATTGTGCTCCAGGCTGGGTGACAGAGCAAGACTCAGTCAGGAAGGAATGAAGGAAGGGAGGAAGGGAGGGAGAAAGAAAGAGAGAAAAGGAAGAAAGAAAGAGAAAGAAAGAAAGAAAGAGAAAGAAAGAAAGAAAGAAAGAAAGAGAAAGAAAAGAGAAAAAGAAAGAAAGAGAAGAAAGAGAGAAAGAAAGAAAAAAGGAAGGAAGGAAGGAAAGAGAGAGAGAGGAGGAGGGAGGAGAGAGGGAGGGAGGGAGGAGAACAAGTAAATTGAGAGGCTGTTTAGCCTGAGGGATTAAGATCTGACTCTGACTCTGGGCCTAGACTACCTGGGTTCAGATCAGTTCCCCGTACGCACACTGACCAAAAAAAAAAAAAAAAAAAAAAAAATCATTTGCCTTAGCTTGGCACAGTAGCTGATGCCTGTAATCTCAGCACTGTAGGAGGCTAAGGAAGGAGAATTGCTTGAGACTAGGAGTTCAAGACCAGCCTGGGCAACATAGCAAGACCTCATCTCTACAAAAAAGATTTTTAAAATTAGCCAGGCATGATGGTGTGTCCTTGTAGTTCTAGCTACTTGGGAGGCTGAGGTAGGAGCTATGATTGGGTCACTGCTCTTTAGCCTGGGTGACAGAGCCAGACCCTGTCTTGTAAAAAAAAAAAAAAAGAAGCAGAACTTATTAAAAAGTAACATCGGCCGGGCGCGGTGGCTCACGCCTGTAATGCCAGCACTTTGGGAGGCCGAGGCGGGCGGATCACAAGGTCAGGAGATCGAGACCACGGTGAAACCCCATCTCTACTAAAAATACAAAAAATTAGCCGGGCGCAGTGGTGGGTGCCTGTAGTCCCAGCTACTTTGGAGGCTGAGGCAGGAGAATGGCAGGAACCCGGGAGGCAGAGCTTGCAGTGAGCCGAGATCGTGCCACTGTACTCCAGCCAGGGGGACAGAGCGAGACTCTGTCTCAAAAAAAAAAAAAAGTAACATCATTGGCCGGATGCAGTGACTCATACCTGTATCACAACTGTAATCCCTGTACCTTGGGAGGCTGAAGTGGGAGGATCACTTGAGACCAGGAGCTAGAGACCAGCCTGGCCAACATGGTGAAACCCCGTCTCTACAAAAACACAAAAAAGGCCAGGCATGGTGGCTCACGCCTATAATCCCAGCACTTTGGGAGACTGAGGTAGGCAGATCACCAGGTCAGGAGTTCGAGCAGCCTGGCCAACATAGTGAAACTCTGTCTCTACTGAAAAATCTCAGCTACTTGAGAGGCTTGAACCCGGGAGGCAGAGGTTGCAGTGAGCTGAGATTGTGCCATTGCACTCCAGCCTGGGTGACAAGAGCAAAACTCCGTCTCAAAAAAAGAAAAAGAAAAGAAAAGAAAAAAAGATTGTTCCCACAGTGTGGAAAACAGACTAGAAAAGAGAATGATAAAGGAGTCAGGACCATAGGTTCAGGTGGCCTCAGCAGGTAGTGAGTTTCTCGTGACTGGGGTATTCAAGCAGAGGCCGCGTGGGTAAGGGGGAATGCCGTCAAGGACAGTCACATGCCGATGGGATGGCACTGGGGCAGGATGACTTGCCCTGAGGCACTATGTTTCCCCAACCCTGCCCCACCACCTGGAGGATGAGCCCACAGCCTCACCCCACCCACTTCAGCCGTGGCTCCAATGCTTGCACACCTGGCCTGGAACCCACGCATGCGAGCCTGCATCCGGGGCAGGACGCGCTGGCGGGAGATGCAGGTGCGGAAGCCACGGTGCAAGTTGACCAGGGCCTGGGAGCGCTGCTGGTTCCGGAGCTCCTCCAGCCGCTGCCAGCCCTGCTCCTGCAGCAGGACCTGTGGGCAGAGGTGCAGGCTGTAGGCAGGAGCCAGGAGCCAGCCCCGCCTGCTCTCCTTCTCTGGTCTCAGCCTCTTTCCCTTCCAGCCAAACCATTTGTTCTTCTGGGGTGCTGAGGCCAGCCTGGCGCCCAGTCCTTCTGTCTCCCACCACTTGGATGGATCCCCAAATCCTGGGTTTTTCCCTTTGGGCCCAGACTGCATCTCTCCTTTCCCATTCATGCTGCCCTCTGCACACAAGGATACACACACCCACCTTGGTGGCTCCGAGGTGACAGAGAGGTGATTCGGCCCCCAGCGCCTGGCTCAGGATGGTACCACACTTCTCCCGGTCAGAGAGGTCTTCCTGCCCTTCCGACCCCAGGGCCTGGAACCTGCTCCAAGGATGAAGCTGAGGTCAGAATAGCCAGAGCCTCCTTTTACACCTTTTTTTTTTTTTTTTTTTTTGAGACAGTTTCGCTCTTGTTGCCCAGGCTGGAGTGCAATGGTGCAATTTTGGCTCACCACAACCTCCACCTCCCAGGTTCAAGTGATTCTCCTGCCTCAGCTTCCGGAGTAGCTGGGATTACTGGCATGCGCCACCATGCCCGGCTAATTTTGTATTTTTGGTAGAGATGGGGTTTCTCCATATTGGTCAGGCTGGCCTTGATCTCCCGACCTCAGGTGATCCGCCTGCCTCGGCCTCCCAAAGTTCCGGGATTACAGGCGTGAGCCAGCGCACCCAGTCCTTTCACACTTGCTGTGTGACACCCTGAGCCCCTTGGTATTTATTCCATTTCTAGATCATTAAAAAATTTGGAAGGTGCCTGCTCTATGCCAGGTGCTCAGCTGGGCGCCGAGACACTGCAGTGAACTTGGGCAGGGAGGGCCTCTGTGCTGGAACTCAGGGGGAAAACAGGTGAACACGGTGTGCCCAGGGGGCATGGGGGCTGGTTCCGGGCCACGGGAGCAACAGGAATGTGGTTCCCAAGGCCTTAGTCTCCTTGCCACCTAACACAGTGGGTCTCAAGACAAGTTTGTGAGAGGGAGGGAGGGATGTGGAAGGGAGGGAGGGGTGTGGAAGGGAGGGAGGGGCATGACAGGAAGGGGTGGGTGGGGGAGTGTTGAAGGACACTTCACAGGTCCAGATCGTGGTACCAGTTTGGCTCAATGGACACTCAGTAGTTAGTCCGTACCAAGCAAGCACTCTGTAGATTCTGGGGACACGTGGGTGACAGTCTGTGGTCACGGGATGCCACAGTGCATCAGGGAATGGCACAGATCAGCAGACCTGGTCTGTGCTGGGTGGAGAGTTGTACCTTGAGGTTCCTCTCACCCAGCTTCCGGGCTCAGGGCTTCTTGTTGGAGGTGACAATTGCCGTAGCTGGTAGGTTTCCAGATGGCAGAGACTGAACATGCTCCGCCCTGGAGCTTCTCAGGATCTGACTCAAGGCTGGGCACACCCATCCCTACTGCCTGCCTTTGCCTCAGTCCCCCAACCAGGCCATCCCCATTGCCAAGGCCATCACAGGCTAAGGAGGTCTGCAGAGCCCTGGGGTGAAGCTGCTGCTCCTAGCAACCGCCCCCTCCCTACTGGGCAGCCGCTAGCCCAGCACTGCTGGACATCAACGAGAAGTGACTCCACCTGCCCACTCTGTCCCTGTCCTTGGGGGAAACTCCAGCCCTTCAGAGGATTCCCAAGAGGTCATCCAGTCAATAGCCAAAGGCCAGATAGGCAAACAACAAAACAGACAATGTCACCAGCTTTTCTCGAGGTTTCTGAACTCTGGGAACAAAGCCGCCTCCGGGGTTCCTGGCAGCTCTGTGTGCCACCCCGCCCCTCCTGCCCTTCTGAAAGGCTCTTTTCTCACTCCGTCCCCCCTCCCATCTCACTGCTTCAGCCTGCACTTCCTGGACAGCTGCTGTGGGTACTAGACTGTGAGCCCCGCCCAGAGCAGGTACTGCTCCCACCTCATCTCTCGTGCCCGGGGAATCAGCACAGGAAACGTTTGCAGACAGGAGGAGAAATGATGAAGGCATGGAGGGATGGTGAATGGTCAAAGAGAGTGAGATGGAGAGAGAGAGAGAGAAAAAGAGGAGGAGAGGACGAGGAGACAGAGGGAGGGTTGGGGGCTAGGCCCAGTCCTGGGCAGAGTGAGTCCATCTCCAATCGGAAGGACCCCCAGGGCTGCCGGTCACTCCCGGGGCCTCCTTGTCAGTCCTGCCCTGAGGTGCTGGGCCCCACCTGGCCAGGAAGGCTCCAAAGGGTACACGCACAGGGAAGTTGGCACTGCGGGTGCCCACGGCCTCCAGTATGGCTGCCTGGTGCAGTTGCTTTGTCACATGTCCCACGTCAAAGAGGCCTGGAAGCTGTGGCCACAAGACAGAGCCAAAGACAGCTGGAGTCAAGGGGCCTGGAGCTGTGCGGAGGGAGGTGCAGGGCGGGGGAGGGTCCCGAGGCCAGTTGCTGGGGAGCTCACCTTTCCAGGGTTAGGGTTGAGGCATTGGATGAAATAGACATGGCTCCTGATGAGGGAAAGGGGGGTCACTTGGGCACAGACCAGTGCCCCATATAACTCCCTGGGGTCTGGTGTGGCTGCCGCTGTTCTCACCTGCCCAGCCGGGCTATGAGGTCCCCCAGGGCCTGCTGGAAGCGAGAGGCCAGCGTGGGTCTGCCTCGCCCTCCCCTGGACTGGGGCTCTGCCTCCTGGAACAGGCTGCTCACCAGCTGTGGGGGTGAAGAGCTGAGCCAGCTGGCTGCTGGGGCCTGCCCATCCACCCTGCAGCCCAGGAGAGCCAGAATGGGCCAGCCCTCAGCATCCAGACCCTGGCAAGCTCAGCCCATGGCCCAAGGTGCCACAGACTTGAGGGCCAACCCTTGGGCAAGAGCACCCAGGGGGAAAAAGACAGAATTAGGGGAAAAAGTATGGAGCAGGTGGGGGCCTGGAAGGGCAGATGGGCACCTGGAGCTGGCTCTGGCCAAGCATCTCCACCACGGCAGGGTCCAGCTGATCCCGGTTTCTGTTTAAAAACTTGTGAACCTACAAGAGACCATGCAGGCGGGGAGGGAAGCGGAGAAAGAGGGGAGCAGGAACCAAGGAGGGGAGGCTGGGTATGGAGGAGAAGAATCTACCCTCTCCCCGAGTGACCTGAAAGACTGCCTTGGTGATTTTCCAGTCCTTTAGCTAGCCATGGAATGTCACTGGACTTTCCATTCCACTCCATGGAAAGGTCCAGTCCCCAGCAATACCCCACTCTCCCCACTGGGGCTTTAACTTGTGCTAGTCAATAGCTTGACTAGACAAGAATGTTGCCTGTCTCTCCACGTTAAAACTTTTTTGATTTACATTTTTCTAGCTTTCTTGAACTCCTTGTATTTCTTTTTTGGGGGGCAACTCCTGGGTAGTTTGTAGTTTTTCTTCTCCAAGCAAAGTGTGCCATCTCCTTCAGGGAGAACTGATTCTCCCTACTGTCCTTCCCTTTATTCCAGCCCCCACTTCCCCATCCCCAGTGCCTCTCCTCCTGGGGTAGGCATGCGTGCAGCTTCTTGGTAGGCATAGAACTCAGAAGGGGGAAGGGAAGTTCATTCAGTGAGCACCTACCCTGTGCCAGGCACCTGCCAGGCCATCTCCACATTAGTACATCTAACCCTCACAGCAATGCCAGAGCTTAGGTCTCCAAGCCCATTTCACAGGTGAAGAAATGGAGGCTCAGAAGGTGAAGTAAACTGCCAAGGTCATTAGGTCCCAGGCTTGTGCTCTGCCCACTTGTCTGGAGGGCCCCAAGGCTTCCACTCCCTCACCCCATAACTGTCACCTAGAACTCAGTAAACCATGCTCAGAACTGGGCAGGGCCCATGGCTCAGGTAGGGGCAGGTGTCCAAGCCTTGCAAGGGGCCTCCCCACACCCACTCCTCTCCGCTGTTGGGTGACTCAGCTTGGGAGGGGACACTGCCCTTGCTGATTCACCCTGGTCTGTCCCTGAGGCCAGGTACCTGGTAGGTGACAGTCCCTGCATAATGTTGCACGGTGAACACGGGCAGGGGCAGTCGGGGCTTGGCATAGCTGGGGTGGTCACCATGGTGATAGTGGCTCTTCTGGAGGAAGGTGTGGTCCGTGGCCTAGGAGAGGAGCCACGCGCTCCCTTCACGCCTCTGCACAAGCTGTCCTTGCCTGGATGGTGCCCTCTCCCGGTGAGCACGAGTACTGCCTACACTGACTATAAGGGTAGGTTTGGCTACCCTTATAGTAGCTTTGGAGGCTGAAGTGGTCGGATCGTTTGAAGTTAGGGGTGTGAGATCAGCCTGGGCAACATAGTGAGATCCCGTCTCTACAAAAAATTTTAAAATTGGGCCGGGCGCGGTAGCTCACGCATGTAATCCCAGCACTTTGGGAGGCCGAGGCAGGCAGATCACAAGGTCAGGAGTTTGAGACCAGCCTGGTCAACATAGTGAAACTCCATCTCTACTAAAAACAAAAAAAAATTAGCTGGGCATGATGGCAGGCGCCTGTAATCCCAGCCACTCAGGTGGCTAAGGTAGGAGAAGCACTTGAACCCGGGAGGTGGAGGTTGCAGTGAGCCAAGATGGTGCCATTGCACTCCAGCCCAGGGGACAGTGTAAGACTCCATCTCAAAAAAAAAAAAAAAAAAAAAATTAAGAATTAGCTGGGTGGGGCCAGGCGCGGTGGCTCATGCCTGTAATCCCAACACTTTGGGAGGTTGAGGCAGGTGGATCACCTGAGGTCAGGAGTTCAAGACCAGCCTGGCCAACGTAGTGAAACCCTGTCTCTAATAAAAATACAAAAAAAATTAGCTGGGCATGGTAGCTTATACCTGTAATCCCAGCTACTCAGGAGTCTGAGGCAGGAGAATTGTTTGAACCTGGGAGGTGGAGGTTGCAGTGAACCGAGACCACACCATTGCACTCCAGCCTCGGCAACAAGAACCAAACTCCGTCTCAAAAAAAGAAAAGAAAAGAAAAAAGTAAAATTAGCTGGGAGGAAGGAATGATTGAGACCGGGAGCTTGAGGCTGCAGTGAGCTATGGTGGTGTCACTGCACTCCAGCCTGGGTGAGAGTAAGACCCCATTTCTAAAATAAATAAATAAATAAGTACAAAAAAAAGAAAAGAAAAGAGGCCGGGCGCGTTGGCTCATGCCTGTAATCCCAGCACTTTGGGAGGCCGAGGCGGGCGGATCACAAGGTCAGGAGATCGAGACCATCCTGGCTAACACGGTGAAACCCCGTCTCTACTAAAAAATACAAAAAGTTAGTCGAGCATGGTGGTGGGCGCCTGTGGTCCCAGCTACTCGGGAGGCTGAGGCAGGAGAATGGCACGAACCCGGGAGGCGAACTGGAGCCTGCAGTGAGCCGAGATCGCGCCGCTGCACTCCAGCCTGGGCGACAGAGCTAGGCTCCGCATCAAAAAAAAGAAAGAAAGAAAGAAATGGGGATGGGGGGCTTTAGTACAGTTTTAGCAATCATTCCTTGGAGAATAGTCCCAGAATCACACGTGTTTGTATTTATTTATTTCATTATTTTTTTAAGACGGAGTCTTGCTCTGTCGCCCAGGCTGGAGTGCAGTGGCTGATCTTGGCTCACTGCAAGCTCCGCCTCCCGGGTTCACGCCATTCTCCTGCCTCAGCCTCCGGAGTAGCTGGGACTACAGGCGCCCGCCACCGCGCCTGACGAATTTTTTGTATTTTTAGTAGAGACGGGGTTTCACCGTGGTCTCTTTATCTCCTGACCTTGTGATCCGTCCGCCTCGGCCTCCCACAGTGTTGGGATTACAGGCGTGAGCCACCGCGCCCGGCCTACATGTGCTTTTAAACAACTCTTTGAAAGATCGGGCCGGGCGCGGTGGCTCAAGCCTGTAATCCCAGCACTTTGGGAGGCCGAGACGGGCGGATCACGAGGTCAGGAGATCGAGACCATCCTGGCTAACACGGTGAAACCCCGTCTCTACTAAAAATACAAAAAACTAGCCGGGCGAGGTGGCGGGCGCCTGTAGTCCCAGCTACTCCGGAGGCTGAGGCAGGAGAATGGCGTGAACCCGGGAGGCGGAGCTTGCAGTGAGCTGAGATCCGGCCACTGCAGTCCAGCCCGGGCTACAGAGCAAGACTCCGTCTCAAAAAAAAAAAAAAAAAAAAAAAAGAAAGATCACTTTCAGGCAGGGCGCGGTGGCTCACGCCTGTAATCCCAGCACTTTGGGAGGCTGAGGCGGGCGGATCACGAGATCAGGAAATCGAGACCATCCTGGCTAACATGGTGAAACTCCGTCTCTACTAAAAATACAAAAAAAAAAAAAAAAAAAAACCACACACACACACACACACACACACAAAATTAGCCGAGCATGGTGGCGGGTGCCTGTAGTCCCAGCTACTCGGGAGGCTGAGGCAAGAGAATGGCGTGAACCCGGTAGGCGGAGCTTGCAGTGAGCTGAAATCGCACCACTGCACTCCAACCTGGGCAACAGCGAGACTCCGTCTCAAAAAAAAAAAAAAAAATTCACCTTCAAAAAGTAACTCAGTTGGGAATGATAGTAAGTCAGTTAAAACACACATACACAAACACACACAGTAACTCAAGGACAGGTGCAGTAGCTCAGGCCTGTAATCCCAGCACTTTGAGTGGCAAAGGTGGGAGGATTGCTTGAGCCCAGAAGGTTGGAAACAGCCTGGGCAACATAGCGAGACTCCACCTCTATGTTTTAAAATATAAAAATAAAACTAAAAAGTGACTTGGTTGGACGTTATTTTACTGAGCTAGTGAACATAAAATAGCAAGTGCATGGGGGAACTTGCCTAATGTTATGTAAATGAGAACTTGGGTTTAGGGTAACAATTCCAGGCTCAGCACCCACCTCGGACTCAGAAAATGGTACATGTCACATAAGATAGACCTAAGTGATATTGCTGAGCCTTGGAAAACCATGCTGGGGGATTCCAAAAGTGATCTTGGGACCTCAAAGACACTCATGACAAGTTTTAACAAAATGTTATGAAATGTGAACTGGGAGAAACAATCATTTATAAATTAACATGCTCTTAATTATTTAGTACAAGATTTTACATATGTATAAGTATTAAGAAATAAACATTATATATTATATATTAATGTGACCTGTTATTATATATTATACATGAAGACATGTATTACATTAATATGACACTGATCAATGAACTATTACAATAACATATTTCACAATTTTACCATTATTTTTCACCTTTCATTTTCTTTTTTTTTTTTTGAGACCCGGAGTCTCGCTCTGTCGCCCAGGCTCATGCCATTCTCCTGCCTCAGCCTCCCCAGTAGCTAGGACTACAGGCGCCCACCACCATGCCCGGCTAATTTTTGTTTTTTTTATTTTTTTGTTTTTTTGTTTTTTTTGAGACAGAGTCTCACTCTGTTGCCCAGGCTGGAGTGCAGTGGCGCGACCTCGGCTCATTGCAACCTCCACCTCCCCGGTTCACGCCATTCTCCTGTCTCAGCCTCCCAAGAAGCTGGGACCACAGGCGCCCGCCACCACGCCTGGCTAATTTTTTGTATTTTTTAGTAGAGATGGGCACCATGTTAGCCAGGACGGTCTCGATCTCCTGACCTCGTGATCTGCCCGCCTCAGCCTCCCAAAGTGCTGGGATTACAGGCGTGACTGCAACCTCAGCCTCCCGGGTTCACGTGATTCTCCTGCCTCAGCCTCCCGCGCCTGGCTCACCTTTCGTTTTCAACCACTAATTGGGAAAATGTGGGAGGGTCGCCCTGTGTTCAGGATCTGCAGAAGTTATATTGAGCTTCCACAGAAACTCCCGCACCACATTCCAGCCTCAGCTCCTAGAGGCTCATGACCCCCCAGCTCTCCCTGTCCCACAAACTCACCCACGGAACTGTGCAGGGGTGATTTTGTATTTGGCTCTGCGTGCCTTTTTTTTTTTTTTTTTTTTTATAATTAATTTTTTTTTTGAAACAAGGTCTCACTCTGTCACCCAGGCTGGAGTGCAGTGGCATGATCATGGCTCACTGCATCCTTGACTTCCTGGGCTCAAGCCATCCATCCACCTCAGCCTCCCAAGTAGCTCTAACTATAGGCTCGCACCACCACACCAGGCTGATTTTTGTATTTTCTGTAGAGACGGGGTTTTGTCATGTTGGTCTCGAGCTCGTGGGCTCAGGGGATTCACTCACCTTGGCCTCCCAAAGTTCTGGGATTACACGCGTGAGCCACCGAGCTTGGCCAAGGCCTGTTTTTTTAAATTAACATTTATCTCCTCCTGCACTGCAGGTTGTAAGAGGGGAGAGACTGGGTCTAATTTTGTTCACCTTTTATCCTTAGCACAGTTCCTGGCACAGTTATTCATTCATTCATTATTTCCTTAACACGTGCTGCAAATAGAGCTCAAACCCTTCAGAGAGGCACCCGCCCTTGTGGAGCCCAGTCTAGTGTGGGAAGGAGTCAGTGAATGAATGGACGCTGTGACTGCATGTGGATGCGTGCTGAAACGTGAAACAGGGACGAGCCTGCTATTCAAGTCTCAGCAGGCAGGAGGCAGTCAGGAAGCTTTTGTGGAATGAGGGGCATGATGCCCTGGGGCTTGTCCCAGACTGGTCAGGAGCCTCAGTAGCCACCTGGCCACAATTGTGAGGGACCTGCAGAAGCCCTTCATGAGCCCTGTGCCGTCCCCACCACCTTGCCCATCGGGCACTATTGTCCCCCTTCTGTGGCAAGTACATGAGGAACCTCAGAGGACAGATGTCATGGTCAAGATCACCCGAGACAAGATGTGAATCCAGCTCTGCGGGAGCCCAGGGTTCTTCCCCTTCACTGCTGTTGTCCCAGGCTGTGCTGAGGAACTGTGGGCAGGGTTTCTGGATCCCATAACCATGTCCCCTCTGGGAGGCTCTGTCAGCTATAGCCTGGACACCCAGGGCCACCACCCCTTCTTCCTGACACTGGATGGGGGGGCACCACCCTGGGCCTCACCTGGGACAGCCATGTCTGGGCATCCAGGATACTCAGGAGGCTGTGGGGCTGGTCTACCAGGAGGTCCAGGCAGGATTCCCTCGGAGGCTGACGGACAGGCACCCAGGACAGCAACTCCCGCCGACACTCCTCCTGGGAATAGCCAGCATTTGGCCATTTCACAGGAGCAGGGATAACTCTCCTATCTTATGGAATAGTACATTGAGGCTCAGAAGACTGAGACGCCTCATGGAAAGGGGTCTTCCAGGCACAGCTCTCAGTTCCCAAATTTCCTTCACCAAGGATGGCTTCTGCCTGGGCAATGCCTAAGCGGCACCTGCCACGTTCACGCCCAATCCCCTTACCTCTTCCTGCGCCAGCAGCATCTGGCTGGAGAAGAGCTGCAGGCGCTCACTGGCAAGGTTGTTGCACAGTTGCTCCAGGCCATTCACCCGCAGGGCCTAGGGGCATGCGGCAGTGAGGTGGGCACATGGGGCTGGCAGGGGCCAGCACACAGGCCTGTGCCCTTCCCACCACCCCAGAGGCTTCCTTCGTTCTGGCCAGGGCGCAGGGATGAATAATGCCCAGGGCTGGTGCTGTGTAGCCAACAGGGTCAAGTCCAAAGGCTCCAGCACAGCACATGGGCTACCTCAGCCCCGCCCAGCCCAGCTACAGGCCCCTCTAGTTGCCCACACCCCTGCCCTCTGCTGCAACACTCCTGCGAGCCTTCAGACCTCCTGTCACAGCCATCCTGTGGCTTGGAAGGCGCCTTTCCCTACTAACTAGCAGGCTGGCTATCAGAGTCCCGCATCCTCATGAGCAGGACTCCAGGCTGCTGCCTCCAGGAAGCCTTCTAGGCTTCCTCCTATAGGGATTACAGGCACCTTCCTCTGTGCTCCCTCAGCACTCTCCTAGGAAGCTTCATGCAGCTTTATGCACCCTTGAAACACACACACAGGAGCTCGGTTGCATACACAGGCCACCGTCACCGCCAGCCTCAGGGAGGGCACGGTCACAAGGACACACTGGAGTGTGTGACAGAACAGGGGGCCATGAATAGTGCCCGTCCAGAGACTGAGGGCAGGGGCCACCTCCTCTCCCTCCAGCCCCATCCTGGCTGTCCTGAGGCAGCAGGATCCTCTGTAAAGGGATGTAGAGTCTCTGCCAACTCAGACTGATGGGGGACTCTCCCTCTTCCCTTTCCTCCTAGCGTGCGGGAAGTGCGGTTGCGGGTGGGTCCACCCTGGGGCCTCTGTCTTCCACTGCCTTTGAGGCTCCTGTGTCTCTGCAAGGCCAGGGAGGACAGGCCATGCTGAAGGCAGGACCGGCCAGAGTGGGACAGAACGGCTGCCCCAGAGCACACAGCTCTCTCATGGACCATCTTCATTAAGCCTCTGAAACTCACAAGGTAGGTCCTGCTGGGATTTCTAGTTTATAGATGGGAATGCTGGACCTCAGAAAGGTTCATTCACTTGTCCAAGGCCACACAGCTAGTGAGTGGCAGGACCACTTCGAATCTCTGCTCTGTCTGCTGCACTAAGCAACTCTTCCCAGCAGGAGGACAGCACGGGCCAGGCTGGGGCTTGTGGTGGGCTCCAGCCATCCCAGAGAAGCCAAGAGCGCTCCCAGCCCAGGCTGCCCAGCCCAACACCAGAGAAGGGAGCAGAGGCCATGCTCGGATGAACATGGGTGTGGGGCGGGGGCATTGTCCTCCGGAGGTGAGTGGAAGCAAGAACTCCAAGGTGCGCAGCCAGTCTGAGTCCTCAAGAGATTCTAAATCTCCAGAGGCAGCCCTGCTCCTTTTCCTCTCCATCCCTGCACCCCACCCCAGCAGGCTCAGCCCAGCAGATGTAGAAGGAGCCCTGAAGGCGCCCTGCCAGACAGGCAAGCACCTCACGAGCACCCCCAGGGAGAGCTGGAGCTGTGGGGGTCCCAGAAATCCATCAGAATTATATGGGTGCCCCCTTTTCTGGGCCCCACCCCAAGGGGTGACCTCAAAGCCATAGGCATCCACGACAGTGATGGTGCCAGTGCTGCCTTCCTCCCCTGCTGGTGCCAGCCGTGCATTGGTCCGCCTCAGAAGCTGGTGGAAGAGGCGTGAATACAGGGCCTTGGCCAGGGCGTCCCTGTAGGCATGGTGGGAGGGTGAGCCACGTAGAGCCGTGCCCCGGGCCCTGCTCTGACTCTCACCCATCTCTAGGGTCACCTGGCATCAATGGCGCCTTCCATGGGCAGGGATCGTGAGACCTGGCCATAGGGCGTCTCCTGGAGGGCAGAGGAGGCACAGCTGGTGTGTCAGGCCCACAGCCCTCAAGGTGCTTACTCAGCCTGCAGGTCAGCCAGGCCAGGCCCCTCTCCCCAGGACCCTCGGGCTCACCGTGACCCTCCTGGTGACAGCCCCCTCCAGGCACTCTGGTGGTACCCGCAGCAGCCGGGCTGCTGTGTGGATCTCGGCCCAGCTAGACACAGCAGCCACCTCCTGGGACTCCCGCTACATAGAGAGGGAGGGACAGGGAGAGCTCTGCTTCAGGAATGGACATACTCCCCAGGCAGGGCAGGCCAGGCTTTGCCTGGCAAGTGGCCCTGTCACCCAAAGGGGAGATAGTCACATGAGGAGATCTGGGCCGTTAGGAGCCAGGCTGTGGTTCTCAGGGCCCTGAGTTCGAGTCCTACTTTCCCTCTTCGCTGGCAGACAGCTCTGGCCAGGCTCCTTCCTTCCTGCACCCCCATGGCCTCACTGCTAAAGGGGAAGCAGTAACCCTTGCTAGGGGGTTGTCTCACAAACTAAATTAGAAAACAAATGCAAAGTGATCTACACAGTGCTGGGTACATAATAGCTGCTTGTTCACTTCTTTTATTTTTTTTGAGACAAGGTCTCACTCTGTCACCCAGGCTTGAGTGCAGTGGCACGATCACGGCTCACCACAGCCTCCACATCCCGGGTTCAGGTAATTCTTCCATCTCAGCCTCCCCAGTAGCTGGGATTACAGGCGCATGCCACCATGCCCAGCTAATCTTTTTTTTTTCCTTCCAAGACCGAGTCTCGCTCTTGTTGCTCAGGCTGGAGTACAATGGCGCGATCTCGGCTCACTGCAACCTCCGCCTCCCACGTTCAAGCAATTCTCCTGCCTCAGCCTCCCAAGTAGCTGGGATTATAGGCATGTGCCAACACGGCCGATTAATTTTGTATTTTTAGCAGAGACAGGGTTTCACCATATTGGTCAGGCTGGTCTCAAACTCCTGACCTCAAGTGATCTGCCCATCTCGGCCTCCCAATGTGCTGGGATTACAGGCATGAGCTACCACGCCCGGTCTGATTTTTTTTTTTTTTTTTTTTTTGAGATGGAGTCTCGCTCTGTCACCCAGGCTGGAGTACAGTGGCACTATCTCGGGTCACTGCCATCTCTGCCTTCCTGGTTCAAGCAATTCTCCTGCCTCAGCTTCTCTAAGTAGCTGGGACTACAGCTACAGGCACGTGCCACCACACCCAGCTAATTTTTGTATTTTTAGTAGAGACAGGGTTTCAGCATATTGGCCAGGTTGGTCTCGAACTCCTGACTTCAAGTGATCTGCCCGCCTTGGCCTCCCAAAGTGCTGGGATTATAGGTATGAGCCACTGTGCCTGGCCTAATCTTTTGATATTTTTTGTAGAGACAAGGTTTTGCCACGTTGCCCACGCTGCTCTAGAATTCCTGAGCTCAAGTGATCCACCCACCTCGGCCTCCCGAAGTGCTAGGATTACAGGCGTGAGCCACCACGGCCAGCCTTTTTTTTTTTTTTAAATAGAGATGGGGTCTCTCTACGTTGCCTAGGCTGGTCTCAAACTCCTGGCTTCACACGATCCTCCTGCCTTGGCCTCCCAAAGTGCTGGGATCACAGGAGTGACCCACCATGCCTGACCATAGCTGTTCATCTAATGCCATCTTAGGGGTGGCAGCTTAGAGGCACAGACACTGGGAGAGTGGAGAAGCTCTAGGTCTCAGCTTTCTCATCTACACAGTGGGGATCTACCTGCTTTTCAGGGCAGCCCAGCGCTCTGTAGTCTCCTACACACAAGCATTTGGCGTCATTACCACTGCCCTGATACTGCAGACCCAGCACCCCGGATGGCCCCTGCCCACAGGGAGCCCACCTCTGAGGAGGAGAAGCAGATGTTGCCCAGCTGCAGGACGGCGGCCAGCACAGCCCAGACGGCATTCAACTCCTCCGTGCACAAGCCCAGCCCCTGCAGTGCCTTCACCAGCCCCTCAAAGTCCTGGGCATCCTCCTTGCCTTGGAGCCTGCAAGCCTGGCCCTGCAGGGCACAGCAGGGGTGAGGGGGTGGGGCCTGCCACCCCATAGCCTCCTGCTACTTCTCAGACCTCTGGGCCAAGATCCTCCTCTGGGGAGGCCTTCTCCCCGCTGTACCACAAGGGCTCCCCATACCTGGTTGAGGTAGTAGTAAGTCTCGGGTCCCTGCAGGGAGAGCCGCTCCCGCTCTATGGAGTCCAGCCCTGCCAGCAGCTCGTAAAAAACATGGAAGCTCCGCTCAGCCTGGGCCTTGGGGGCAGGACTGGCTTAGGGGCTTAGTGCCCTAGGGGCTCAAAGGCCACACCCTGACAGTGGCACCCTCTGCCCTTCCTACTCTGGGAACTGGGGAGGGGTGGATAGAAGGGCCGCCCTTACCTGAAACACCACCCTGGAGGTCTCAAGTAGATAATGAGACACAGAGGCTCCCACGATGACCCCTCTGGGGGCACAGAAGATGGGTGTGAGTGCCCAGGATGCAGACCACCCAGGGGCCCCGTGCATAAGAAGCCCTACCAGAGTCTGGACCCCAGGGAAGAAGCCCAAGGACCCAGCAAGGGTAAGTGATTGTAGGTGCCCCCTGTAACTCTGCCACTCACTGTTGTAGGTAGAGGCAGAAGACCTGGCCGAAGCGGCTGGCATTGGCATTGAGGATGGTCTTGGCATGGCCAAAGCTGCTGAGTATGGGCAGCACATCCTCCACCTGTACAAAGAGGAGTCTTCAAGCATCCCTGGGCAGCAGTAGCCCCCACCAGCAGGCATCCCAGCTAGGGGCAGGTCCAGGGAGGCGTCAATCCCATCAGAAAGGGCAGTGCCTTCAGCTGACCCCAGGAGACGCCAGAGGCCTGGAGACCACCCCTCTCCTGGCTGAAAGAAGAAAGATAATCCCTCGGACATGGTCAGCTGTCTCCTGCAGGGAGACAGATGGCCAGCTCGGCCCATGAGGTGCCTCCAGCCTGGCCCTCACCTGACACCCTCGGTTCCCCGTCTGATCCTGCTCCAGGCTGCTTAGGAACTGCACGATCTTTTTGGAGGCTTCTGTCTTCCCTGAGCCGCTGTGCCCACTGCAGCGGGAGGAGCTAAGGATGTGTTGGTTGGTAGGGTCTCCAGGGAGGGGCACATAGGACCACCCCACTGAATCCAGGAAGTGGGATGTGCCACCCAGAAGTGACAGCTAGCCTGGAGAGACCCCCAGAAATGTGGAAAGACAGTCCCAGAGCATGGAGAGACCCAACAGAAAGAAAAGTCCCCAAGATGCCACATTCCAGGGGCTCATGCGATGATTTCAGCTGGGAGCTCGGCCCTGTGGAGTCCAGAACTATAGCCTGGCAATGGAGCAGACCAGTGGCTTCCAGGGAAGACCTCAGGCCCTGCCCCATCAACCCTCAGTGTGGCCCGTGGGTTCAGCCACGCAGGACGGCCACCACTCACCGCAGGAGGATGCATGGGTCCTGCCCAGTATGCTGAGCCAGGTCATAGGCTGATGCCACGATGGCAAAGATGTGTCTGAGGGAGATGAGAAGGTTGCCAGACATGGGGACCTGGGACCCTCCAAGGTGTAGCAGAGGTACTCACAGGCCCTGGGACCTCAGTCAAGGGGACATGCAGGGACTGGGCTGCCTGGGAGGTGAACAGAGGGTCAGTGGGGCAGAGTCACATACGGGGTGGTGCTGAGGGCCTTCCTGGGGTGGTAGCTTTCCTGGACCTCAGGTGAGAAGAGAGGCAAGGGCCGGTGGGGGTTCAAAACAAGCAAGAGGGGACCCCCAAAAGTCTGGGGAGGAAAACAAGCTGTCATCAGAGTGTGGAGGGAGCAGGGGGAATGTAAACAGAGCTCAGCCCCCCAGTCCCGCTCTGCAGGGTTCCAGAGAGGCTTCAGCGCCCAGCCCGGGGAGGAAGAGGAAAGAGAACCTCCAGGGGTGCTGGGGAGCCCTCTGTCCCCAGAGGAAAGGGGATCCCAACCCACTGTCCCTCCCCGTGGCTCCCCATACATAGATTCGGCCCAGGTGAAATCTCTTCTTGAGGCACAGCAGCACAGAGCTGTCACATATCAGCCTGTGGGGACAACAGGGTGGAGGGACGACAAATTGTGGCTGCAGGAGGTTGTGCGTTAGTTCTGCTACCCACTGCAGGGACACTTCGGGCAAGTCATTCAACCTCCCAGAGCCTGATCCACAAAATGAGGGCTGGGCTGTCAAGTAATGGGGAGGCTACAAGTAGGGCTGGCACTGACCCAGAAGGAAGCTTTGTACTAATTAGAAAGGCAGTCCTGGGGAGGTAGCATCTGTCGCCCCTCACCTGCCCCTTCCTGCCAGGAGGGTTCAAGCCCATCCTTCTAAGGATTCAATAAGGGTCTACACGCAATTAATAAAGATGAGCGCAGGGTGGGTATGAGGAGCTGTGAGCCAGGGATGGCAGCTTTGGCACCGAGTCCGCTCACCGCAGGCGGGCCAGGTCCTCCGTGTCTTCTAGGCCGTCTCCAAGGCTCCTGCCTTCGGCACCGGGAAAGGGTGGCGCCTCCAGGCCCGGCCCGAGGCTTAGCTCCAGGTCCCTCTCCAGCACCGCCTCGTCCTCATCCTCGGGTTCCCACCGCTCCCTCAGGGACCCGCGGAAGCACGGGTCTCCCTCCTGCTGCAGGCGGGTCTCCAGGGCGAGTCGGGGCAGCAGCACGGCGGCGCCAAGCCTAGGACCCTTGCGGGGACCGGAGCCTTGCGCCCAGTGCACCGGGGGCTCCTCGTCCAGGGTCTCCGACTCCGCCTCACTGCTGGAGCCGCTCTCGTCGAGCGAGGGCCCGTCGGGGGCAGTCGGGGCGAGGAGGGAGCCGCGACGAAGCCCGGACACCCCTTCCCCACTCGCCCTGCGGCCCTCACTGTGCCCCCCTGCCCCTGCACGAGGCCAACCTCGGCCTTCCCCCGTGGGGGCATCTGTGGACGCTTCTTCAGAGCTGCGGCTGCTCGACGCCCGCCCTGCCCTGTGGATCCTGGGGAACACGACTGCGAACTTGGGATCTGGAGTCCCGTCCTCCTGATCGAAAGGGTCGTCGGGGACTGGGCTTGTCCGGACCTGCGGGGGGCGCGAGAGGACGCCAGGAGGAGCCCTCGGCCTACCCCCGCGCCCTGCTAAGCCGGCCAGGTGCAACGCTAGACGGTGCCGCAGCCCCGGCTCAGGGCCCCGCCCCTCGCCCCCTCTCTCGTGGTCCCGCCCCTCGTCCCCTCTCTCGCGGCCCCGCCCCTCGTCCTCTTTCCCGCGGCCCCGCCCCTCGTCCCCTCGCTTGTGGCCCCGCCCCTCGCTTCCTCTCCCATGACCCAGCCCGTCGTCCGCTTTCCCGCGGCCCCGCCCCTCGCACGCTTTTCCGCGGCCCCACCCCTCGCTCGCCCGTGGCCCCGCCCTCTCCCCCTCGCCCTCTGGCGGCCGCGGCCGCAGCCGCAGCCGCCGCCACAGCCAGCGCAAGAGGCCCAGGGCTCGTGCTACACTCAGGAGCCGCTCCTTGAGGCCAGCGCGGCGGGGGCCCACGGCCTGGGAAGTGACGCCTGGCGGGGACCTCGCGAGGAGTCTGCGGACCACCAGGAGGGCCGCCAGCGGGGCTGGGTCCTCCGGCCCCGCTCCCGCTGGGGCTCCTGCTACGCCCTCCCCTGCCGCCGCTGGCACCCGCCCCGCCGCCTTTCTGACCGGGTGGCGCGGAGCTCGGGCCGTCGAGGCCTGCATTGTTTCAGGCTTGGCGCCCCGCTGCGCCCGGTTGTCGCTCGCGTCCTGGGCCGGCCCGGTGTCCCGAGGAGCCCGCGAGCTGCCCTCGAAGGTCCTGGAAGCCATAGCTGCTCGGGGGCCCCGTCCAGGTCCGGTCTCCAGCAGACTCGAGTCGGAGTCCCCCCCGGAATGCTCGCTGGCCCTAAGGGGCCCCGTCCCCGACGACCCTTCCCGGCCCCAGGGATCTGCGCGGGGCCAGCCGCTGTCCAGGCCGTCGCTGCTTGGCTCCAGCGCTGACTCTGGCCCGGTTTTTGTCCCTTCCGAGCCCGTGACCGTAGGCTCCAGGGTGGGCCGCAGCTCCCGGGCTCCGCCGCGCTGGCTGCCGCTCTCCTGGGCCTCGCGGGCTTCGCTGTCCGGACAGGAGCTGCCTCCGTCCCCACCCGACGTGTCCCCATCGAGGCTCCGGGGCGCCCGGCGGCCTCGCTGAGCCGAGGGCACTGGATCTTTCCCCTTCCTCCTACGGCGGCCGCCCAGTCCTTCTCCTCGGGAGAGGCTGCCTTCCTCCAGGCGCCCCCTGCGGCCGCCCCTGGGCCCGCGTCCCGGACACCGCGCGCTGCGTTGCCTCTCCTGGGCCTCTGGGGGCGACCCAGCCCCTGGGCGTCTGCAGCCGCCGTTCTCCTCTGCGATGGGCTTCCTGCGGCCACCAGCGGTCCCCTGGCCCCCGGCGGTGGCGGGCTGGGCGGCCGGTCTCGCCCTGACCGCCTGGCCGTGATCGGATCGTCGTTCCTGGCTGGGCGCGCCGTCCGCGCTGGCCGACCCCGACTCCTGCTCCCCTGAGGCCGGCCTCCCGGGCCTCGCCAGGCGCTGGGGCGCTTTGCCCTGGTTCCTGCCCATGGCTGGCCCAGAAGATACGGGCTTCGTGACGCCCGGGTCCTCTCCCCTCCCTGGGGATCTGGCCGCCCGCGGTGACCCTCTGTGCAGTGCACTACTTCGGCTCTGCTCTCGCAGGGGCTACAGGCTCCTTCTACTCCCCAGGGTGCCCGCCTTACAGGACCATCAATAATGCAGAAGGCGGCGGGTCCTGACCCCCTCGGCCAACAATGGAGCAGAGGCTCCCAGGAAACAGGAGACGCTGCAGCTGCGGACAGGGCAACCGTGCCATTGGGAGGCGCTGCCAGCCAGGCCAGTCTGGCACCATGCCAGACTGAGGGGGCCCATGCTCCACTCCCACTTCAGTGCTTGCCCAGCAGGGAAGGGCCCAGAGAACCTGTCTGGACCTCTTCCTTCTGGGGGTTCCAGGGGTCTGGGACCAGGCCCACCCTGGCACATGGCAGCAATCCATGAGTCGTTAGGGTTTTTGTTCTTTTCAATTGTGGAATAAATGCAATTTACCGAAAAGTGGATAAAACATAAATGTACATCTTGAACTGGTGTAAAACATGCCTGTCTACATCCTTGGAGTTATGGAACAGAACCACACCCCATAAATTCCTGATTGCCCCAACGTGTGTGTTTTTAAAATACCTATTTTTAAAATAGGTAATACATTCACATCATTCAAACATCCAAACATCACAAGATAAAAGTCTCCCATTCCTGACCCTCAGTGTACTCCGTGTTCCCCTGAGGTTACCCATTTCTGTATTTCCTTGCAAAACTTTCCATGCTGGCCAGGAGTGGTGGCTCCCGCCTGTAATCCCAGCACTTTGGGAGGCTGAGGTGGGCGGATCACGAGGTCAGAAGATCGAGACCATCCTGGCTAATACGGTGAAACCCCGTCTCTACTAAAAATACAAAAAAATTAGCAGGGTGAGGTGGCGGGCGCCTGTAGTCCCAGCTACTCTGGAGAGGCTGAGGCAGGAGAATAGCGTAAACCCAGGAGGCGGAGCTTACAGTGAGCTGAGATCACACCACTGCACTCCAGCCTGGGCAACAGAGCAAGCTCTGTCTCAAAAAAAAAAAAAAAAAAAAAACTTTCCATGCAGAGAAAAGCAAATATATTTTTCCCATTTAGCAAAAGTGGCAGCTTATGTAGCTCAGGGGTCTCCACTTTGCCTTTTTCACTTAAGAATGTAACCTGGTGATTTCATAATAATACCATAAAAAGCCAGCCTGCCTTCCTCCCTTCTCCCCTCCCTCTCTTCCTTGCAAATAAATGCACCATGGTTGAACCAATGCCTTATTGATAGGTTTTTATATCTAAAGTGGATCCTGGCCAAGCAAAGTGGCTCACACCTGTAATCCCAGCACTTTGGGAGGCCGAGGTGGGTGGATCACCTGATGTCAGGAGTTCGAGATCAGCCTGGCCAACATGGTGAAACCCCATCTCTACTAAAAATACAAAAATTAGCTAGGTGTGGTAGCGCATGCCTGTAACCCCAGCTACTCAGGAGGCTGAGGCAAGAGAATCACTTGAACCCAGGAGGCAGAGATTGCAGTGAGCTGAGATTGTCCCACCCTACTCCAGCTTAGGTGACAGAGCAGGATTCCCTCTCAAAAAAAAGAAAAAAAAAAAAAAAGTAGATCCTGCCTTCATCTCATCTTTTGCTTAAGTTACAACCAATATTGGAATAGAATTTCACCAGCATCTGCGTAGAATCGACCAGGAGTAGAATTGCTGCACCATAGGGCACATGCGTTTGCAATTTTGAGGTTTCCAAATTTTTCTCCACAAAGGTTGTGCCGATTTATATTACCACCACCACAACAGGGGAGACCACCATTCTTTTCCAACACTCTGAAGCATGACAAAATTTCAGTGCCGCTTTGAAGAAATAAGATCTAGTGTTCAATAGATCAGTAGGATGACTATAGATAACATTAATCCATTGCACATTTCCAAGTAGCTAGAAGAGAACTGTTGGGAGAAAAGCTGAGTGTTGGGAGAGAAGCTGAGGCAGGGCTTGCATGTCTGCTAGACTTTAGCTCCTTGCTTCTAGCACTCCCATTATCTCAAGCAGCCATATGTTTCTTGTTCCCTTGATACACTGTTTCCTTTCAACCCCCACATCCTCACCACCTGTTTCTTTATTTGAGCACCAATAAATAGTCTGGGCTCCCAGAGATAGAGGCCTTTGCAGCCTCCACACTCTTGATTGTTCCCTGGTCCCACTTTCTCTCTCAAACTGTCTTTTTCTCATTCCTTTGACTCCGATGGGCTTTGTGACTCCCATGACCTGGTGTTGGGTCTGATCACCCCAACAGAAAATGATCCAAATGTTCCTAGTATTAAAAAAAGAAAAAGAGCCAGGTGCGGTGGCTCACGCCTGTAATCCCAGCATTTTGGGAGGTCAGGAGATCGAGACCATCCTGGCTAACATGACGAAACCCCATCTCTACTAAAAATACAAAAAATTAGCTGGGCATGTTGGCAGGTGCCTGTCGTCCCAGCTACTCAGGAGGCTGAGGCAGAAGAATGGTGTGAACCTGGGAGGCAGAGCTTGCAGTGAACCGAGATTGCGCCACTGCACTCCAGCCTGGGCGACAGTGCGAGACTCGGCCTAAAAAAAAAGAAAAGAAAAATAACGTAACAGATACCCTAATTTTGATTATATAAATATATCAAATTATCACATGTACCCCCCAAATAAGTACATCTAATATGTATCAATAAAAAATAATCTTAAAAAATAAAATAAAGGCCGGGCACGGTGGCTCACGCTTGTAATCCCAGCACTTTGGGAGGCCGAGACTGGCGGATCACGAGGTCAGGAGATCGAGACAATCATGGCTAACCCGGTGAAACCCCATTTCTACTAAAGATACAAAAAAATTAGTCGGGCATAGTGGTGGGCGCCTGTGGTCCCACCTACTTGGGAGGCTGAGGCAGGAGAATGGTGTGAACCCAGGAGGCGGAGCTAAACCCCAGGTTTTCACGGTAAAAGATACAAAAAATTAGTCGGGCATAGTGGTGGGCGCCTGTGGTCCCACCTACTTGGGAGGCTGAGGCAGGAGAATGGTGTGAACCCAGGAGGCGGAGCTTGCAGTGAGCCGAGATTGTGCCACTGCACTCCAGCCTGGGCCGATTGAGCGAGACTCCGAAAATAAAAAATAAAATAAAATAAATAAATTAAATAAATAAAATAAAATAGACCGGGTGCAGTGTTGCTCACGCCTGTAATCCCAGCACTTTGGGAGGCTGAGGCAGGAGAATGGCAGGAACCCAGGAGGCGGAGCTTGCAGTGAGCCGAGATCGTGCCACTGCACTCCAGCCTGGGCGACTGAGCGACTCAAAAATAAAAATAAAATAAAATAAATAAATTAAATAAATAAAATAAAATAGACCGGGGTGCAGTTGCTCACGCCTGTAATCCCAGCACTTTGGGAGGCTGAGGCGGGCGGATCACAAGGTCAGGAGATCTAGACCATCCTGGTTAACAGGGTGAAACCTGTCTCTATTAAAAATACAAAAATTAGCCGCGTGTGGTGGCAGGTGCCTGTAGTCCCAGTTACTTGGGAGGCTAAGGCAGGAGAATGGCATGAACCTGGGAGGCGGAGCTTACAGTGAGCCAAGATTGCACCACTGCACTCCAGCCTGGGCAATAGAGCAAGACTCCATCCCCCCCAAAAATTAATTAATTAATTAATTAAAATAAAATAAAAATAAACTCAGTGCCTCTTTAAGTTAATTTCTCTCTGAAAATAAGCAGCTCTCCCACTCTTAAAGCCACTTTGCTTCCTTTTCTGAGACCACTCTTTTCTCATCCTTCCCCATCGGTGTGAGCAGGTCTGTTTCTTTTTTGAGACAGAGTCTCGCTCTGTTGCCCAGGCTGGAGTGCAGTGGCACGATCTCGGCTCACCACAACCTCTGCCTCCCAGGTTCAAGTGATCCTCCCACCTCAGCCTGTAACTGGGATTACAGGCGTGCACCACCATGCCCTGTTAGTTTTGTACGTTTAGTAGAGATGGGGTTTCACCATGTTGCCCAGGCTGGTCTTGGAGGCCTGGCCTCAAGTGATCTGCCCAACTTGGCCTCCCAAAGTGGTGGGATTACAGGTGTGAGCCACCTCGCCCGGTCAGGACTGTTTCTTGATGATTAGACTGTTAAACCTGGGCAGGATTTGTGAGGCCACTTGACGGCTCTGGGGCCAGGCAGCTGTGCAGGGGCAGGTTCAGGGCACCCACGATGGAATCAGATGAGTCATCCAGGTGAGGCCTGTGACCTGCCCCACAGGGACTTCCATGCCCCCACGCCCCCACTGACTGGCTTGCTGTGGCCTTTCCTCACCAGGAGCAGTACCCAGCATGGAGCAGGGGAGGTGACATTCCAGACTGCGGCACTTTCCCTCAGAATGCTCTCGTCAGTCCACGCCTGCCTTATGCCTATCTCTCTGCACACCTCCTAGAACCAGACTTAGACCTGGTTGCAGCTGTTGCCAGCGCCCACGTTGCCTGAGAGGGCTGTTGACAGCCCAGAGGCCTGGTTTGAGCAACAAGTTGACAGTGATCTGGCCTTTGCAGTCTGCATGCTCAAGGAGGCAGCCTTCTGGAGAGGGAGGCAGCTGTTCCAAGGACTACGAGCTCACGGGTAACCTCAGCCTGTAGACGTCTGCAAGCTGTACTCCCCCATTGCCAGCTGTGCTGGGGAAAAGGACAATGATATTCTAAGCACTCGTTTCTCCTGCAAGAAGCAGAACACGGGTGAGGTATTCACCCGGCGGATTAATACATAGCATTGAGAACTGTCTACAGCTGTCAGCAACAACATGGATAATCTTGCAAGCATAGTGGTGAGTGAAGGAAGCCAGGCATGAAAGAGTATCCACTGCATTCTATTTATGTAAAGTACGAAAACAGGCAAAGTGATCTACAGAGTGGTCCCCCCAGGGTCAGTAGTGACTCAAAGGGGACACAAAGGAAGCTCTGAGATATGGGTGATGCTGTTTGTTCAGGTTGTTAGGATTTGCTGAGTTGTTCTCCTATGACTTGTGCACTGTTGGTTTGTATCTTTTTTTTCTTTTGAGACAGAGTCTTGCTCTGTTGCCCAGGCTGGGGTGCAGTGGTGCAATCTCAGCTCGCTGCAACCTCCACCTCCTGGGTTCAAGCGATTCTCCTACCTCAGCCTCCTGAGCAGCTAGGAATACAGGTGCACACCACCATGCCCGGCTAATCTTCGCATTTTTAGTAGAGATAGGGTTTCACCATGTAGGCTAGGCTGGTCTCAAACTCCTGACCTTGTGATCTACCCACCTTGGCCTCCCAAAGTGCTGGACTACAGGCATGAGCTACCATGCCCAGCCTGATTTGTATCTTATAGCACAGATAGCACAGTGGGCTGGGCATGGTGGCTCACAAATGTAATCTCAGCACTTTGAGAGGCTGAGGATTACTTGATCCGGGAGTTCCAGACCATCCAGAGCAACATAGCAAGACCCCGTCTCTACAAAAAAATTTCAAAAATTAGCTGGAGGC